TTCCCAGCTCAGACTTCCCATATACCATTGCTACACGTATAGAGTGTCCCGTTGAAATTCGGACGACCTCTATCGGATTGTCTGGCATAGTGGGCATAGTTCGGTTATCTCCCTTTAGGTGTTATAAGCAAGCAGTACTCCTAAAAACGAAAATACAAAGCCACAAAAAGCAGTGCATCGCTTTTGCAGTTTGAGTGAAGATCAGCTATTATCCAGTCTTTTTTTCGGGACACGCGCTTCACCGAAATTATAAATTTTCTTTTTTGCCCGCAACCGAAGGTCAAAAAAATTTACGGAACGTTGTGTGAAACAACGTGAAACATAGTCATTATGTTTTAGACACAAGTTAGCAAAATTTATCCAAATGGCGCGAAAATTTATATTCGATAATCCTGGATTCAACTACGGGTTTTTTCTTGTTGAGACACTGTGTGTCTGTTTACACCTTTGGACTCTTTCGGCGTTTCGTAATCGGGAATTTTCGGTCTGCTATAAACCTAAATTAAAGCCCACTGGATTTTTTGTGTGTATTTCGATAGGTCTACACTTATCAAGATTGTTTGACGTATAATAACGATTAGACAGTTTAGCAGAGAAAAAATCGAAAACGACTGGTGAAGGGTTTAGGTCACGGATTGAAGCTGTAATCGAGATGAATAGAAGTTATATTAAACGAATATGACCGTCAACAATAAAACATTCGGTGCATGTATAAAAGTCGTTGAAGTCAGTTTTACTTAAAATAAATCTTATAAATGCAATATAAAGAGCCCAAGTTTATTATTAGCCTTTGAATATGTCTGCGGCTATCAGAGCGAGTGGTAGTAATGTGCTCGTACATGCCACGCTACGATTAACTGAAGCCAACTTCCTTGATTCTAGTGTTAATATGGCCTAAATCTGTGGCTGGTTGAAAGTCGTCTCCGACGGTGTTCGATGACAGAAAATTTGGGCGCCAGGCCCGTAAAAGATTAGAAATGGCCACCGAGCTAGGTCCGTAAATTGGGCGCGTGGATATCTGAAAAGTGACCCATTTTAGAGTCGATTTTAAGAGAGGTGCACGCAATCTTGATAAACATGCTGTTTGAACGCTTTCTCTTCAAAGCAAAGCCAGTCGTGAGATTACTTCGCCGCTATAGGGTGAATGGGGGATGTTTGAATGGTTTGTGCGCGTTAAATGGATACTGCTTGATAAGCTAGCGGTCAAACCCGAATTCAGCGTGCTATTGACAGACATTTGAAGAACCGCAATATCGGCTAAACTTGCCTCAGCAGCTAAAGTCGGCTCGTCCTTCCGAGTTAATTCGAGTGGTCAAGGTTTTATACTGCAAAAACCTAACATTTACCTGCCACGTCAAATAGGGAACCCTGGTTGCTGTTGCCGCTCCGGGAGAAGGTAACTTAATGCGCAGCACCTGCGGATAGAAGTTGGGCTATTAGGACAAGGAAAATCAGACCATTAAAAATACCGCCCTTAGTGCACTGATCATGACCCACCTACTGGACAGTCCTCGGTAGGGGGCAATAATATGGATCCTGCGGAGAAAATAGATTACTGGGTTCACCCTCTGTCAAGCCCTCTGTGACCATTGTCAAAATCAGCCAAAACCTTGGCGTTTCCAATCTGTCATCGAGGCCACCTGATCTTTAGCAGAAGCATGGCGTGCTACTGGAATATACGTTAGAGTACATGAGTTCATGCGAGGTTACGACGTGCACCGCGTTACTGGACACCTAAGAAAGAGTCACAGCCGTTATCACTACAGATAGACCACAATAAGGTGTACTTCAGCCCGTCGGTAGGTCTGAACGTTTGAATTTGTTTCCATGAAGACACAGGGTGTTACTGGTTGCGTCGAAGCCCGTAAACGTTCCACTTGTTAGTTAGTTTGGCAACGCGACTCGACAAAGTACTAAGAAATCACGAAAAAATCTAGAAAGAGCAATGTCGAGTCCCTAAGTGCTGGAGGATTTCAGCTATAGGATAAGGACGTCCCACATGAGGAACACACGACCGAGTGGTAATGAGGAAAATATAACATTTAAGAAACCAAACGAGTTGTGAAGTACGTCTCGTCGGCAACAGCTTCTAATCTCTTTCAATCAGAAGGATATATAATATGAATCGTTCAATAAATTTGCGTATGCGGCTATATAAGATCAAAGAGTGAAGCGCTCGTTTCTGCCAGCCTACGACAAAGCTAAATCAATCCTTTTCCAAATATATGCAGTAATCTCTATACATCTAAGGAGAATAATCTAAACTGAAAGTTTTTTTTTTGTGTGCTCCTTCTATGACAGTATCTAAGCAAAGATAAACTTTATTATTATATTTGCTAGGACTGTCATTCCTTACGCTTAATACAACTATCGTTCATTGCGATTCAGAACATAAACTACACACAAGTCAATCCGCAAATAACTTGATAGTAATTATACATAAAGCGATATTTTTAGATGTAAACTTGTTCACCTAAACATGCTGCAAGTCCCAAAAATATAAGGAATACAGATGTTAAAGATGCCAAAAACGCGACCAACCTCAGAAAAGTAAGTATTGGAGAATACCTAGACGAGCCAAAATATGCCCCTTAATTCTTGAAGTAGAAACCCACGTGTATCAAAAATAGCTTTTTGAGCTTATGGTGATTTTAACTTCGAAGTCTCAATCCTATTTGAAATCTTTAAATCTAACTCATGGAAGTCCCCGATTTTCCAATGGCCACCTAAAAACTGACAATAAGGTATACCACCGCAAGAAAAATTTCGTTTCTAGCATTGGTGGGACTTCGCTCGGCTCTGGAAGATTAGATGTTCCATCATTTAATGCCAACGATACTTCATTTCTTAGTCCTTATGCTCTGTACTAGACAAACAAAATAAAGAATTTTGCTTCCAACTTCTACAACAACCTTGTCGTAAAGAAAAAAAGTTGTGCCAAACATCAAAGGACGTTACCTGTCTAGGCTGCATAAGGCTGGCCAATACAAAGCAGCACGAGTTGACTGACGAGTGTCTGAGTGAGTACATAAGCCAGTCCCTAGGTGGCCTGGACCTTTTGTGTACTTGACGGGACCACGTCATCGGTAAATCAGTGGCAAGGGGGCCGTCACCCACCATACAACTACTGGCAAAGACTACCACTACGCCCGATGTCATAAAGCCAGAATAGCAAATGTTGTATTCCCAAGACAGGATGCTTTGCGTCACCGTTATTCTCCCTACTTTGTATCATGCAAATGTTAGATAAGCAGGGGCAAACAAATCTTACATGAAAAGGGCGGGGGTATTCAAGAGAATTCATTATGAATTGAGGGAACTACGCTCGTGCCAGGTTTGACTCGCAATATAGCTCAAAAGTAATGACTGCTTCATTCATCTAAGCAAGCTATGATGTTTCTTCAAAGTTGCTTTTTAAATAGCATAAACTGAATAATTTTAGTAACAGGTGCTGTAGAACGACTTAGTTTTTTTAATGAAATACGTGTGCATATTTGTAAAAAGCTGAAATCAGCCTTAACATGTGAGACTTCTTTCAAAAAAACAAGAAATATCTACGAGAAGTTATGACTTTGGTAGGATATCGTGGTACCTACTTTGATCCGCGAGAGTCTCAAGGTGACACATGTAAGCTGTAAAAACCGTTAATGATGTTTCCGTTTCTCTAGTGCGTAGATCAGTCAGATTCTTGTTGTGTTTACGGTCATTCGTGGCGTAGTGATGACGTATTTGCCACAGCCTAGCGTGTAACTAGCGTTACGCCATGAAGCATGTGTGCTATTCATCAATGCTCGATACACACCTTTATGTAAGTTCGAATACCTGAACCTTGAATGTTTGTGAAAGATTTATCCGGCACTTCTTATGGCAACGACGCTCAGTCCTGAGTGAATCTTCTACGGTCGACGCTTTTATGAGATAGATAAAAAAAATAACGTTCGGGTTTATGTGAAAATTTGAGTCTTCAATTTATGTTTTTCTCTCTCATCAACCTCCTAGGTTATGTTACGCGACAAACTGATCATAAAGGCGAATGCCAAATTCTCAAAATCTACCCTAGGCTGAATCGAGTTGAACTCTGGTGTTTACTATAAATAAACGCGCAAGGTCGATAAATATATTAGTAAGATTCTCTCTCACTTCAGAGTATATCTAAAAGGTTTGAACAATATTTAGTATACATCGTAATTAAGTGAAGATCGATAATAATCCAAGATAAACACTAACATGGATCAATCACTATGGAGAAGTCAGGATTCTAATGACATCTCCATGCTTTTATAGCAAAATAAAAGTGGCCATTAACATAAGGATTATCACGGGATATTCCAGCTGATCCAGACTGAGGTAGGATAGGACCAAGAATCAAATGTATATATTCTATGCGCATTACGTGATGTAACTTGTATGATCGAAGTTAATAAGAATCGTGTGTGCATCAAACATAACTCTGGTACATTAGCCTTAGTTATTGAATAGCTTTCATCCTTATGTATTGAACACGAAACACACATCAATTTCATTTACAGAAGTACGAAATTAGATTGGCTACCTTTTTTTTAGCGGCTTCTTTCAGATATTATTGACCGTCGCCCTCTTCTTCGCCAACAACAGCAAGCGTTCCCTCGCTTTTTCTATTACAGCCTCTACGTAGAATATTTGTGTGGTTGCCCGTCCTGGATATTGTTTGCTTGATATTAAGATCAGCTGCCAACAGAATGACGTAAGCTGACGTGGAACAATGGGAAGCTTTTGTAGACGTAACTTTTATGTAGACGTAACTTTATATATAGACACAAGACATACATGCATGTGGGTACCATTCTAGTCGAAATATATCGTCGGTACGTGCTTCTATAGACTTCCCAAATATGTCTGATACTGCTGCGGTGTGTCTGACACCGACTTTAATAAACAGTTTTCAGTATCATAGCTACGCAGCCGGCTTTATACTTACCTAATGTCAAATTTGTCTGTTATTTTTATTGCTTCAATTCTAGGTGGTCAAACGTGCGAAGGTCATCCTGTCCTTCATCTGCCTGATACAGGGACATTCTGTCAGATCCCTGATGACCACCTTCGCCGTCTGCTGCGATATTTAGCTGGAGTTCCTCTACCGCACGAGCAGAATGCCGGATTTGTTATCGTTGTCGACAGAAGAAGAGACAAATGGAGTTCTGTCAAAACCGTCTTACTCAAAATATCTGTAAGGGTTGTTTATTACGGAAACTGATGAAGCGCTACTGACAGAGCTATCGTTGCAGTTCCTATAGGAGACGACGTAATGCAGAAACGGCCAAATTTTCACTGACATTGGCCTAACTACCATTACGAAAAAGCCGTGCCTGTGCAGTTATATATATTGATGTATACAACTATATATAATATGTGAACACGATTATGGACTATCGAATAAAGATTATCGGTAGTCGATAATCCTTTAACTAGTTCGGCGTCAGCTTTGAACAAGGGACGCAAACGAACGTACCCCCAAGAAGTTAACGATTGAATAGGGTAATTCGTCGCTACTGTTACATTAGATCGTTTCCTGCCGTCATATTGCTAACGTGTGAGCCGTTTGAGGAAGATCCAACAACCTTATGTTAATCCTAGAAGGGAGAGCTGCTCAAGCTTTTTACGATTGGCATTTAGATCTTTTTACGTCCTTTTCTACCCCCTGGCCTCGTTTGTAAGATAAACTATACTGAGCTTTTTCCTATAGTTAAATAAATAACCTAAATTTGTGTTTGTCTTGTTTTGTCGGCGGTTTTATTATCATCGTTGCTATTTCACCCTTCGACCGAACGGCTATCATTTATTGCTGTCATATAGTGCCAATTAAGTTTCGACGTTGTCCTATTGGGCTGTGTGACCCCTTTGTTGGATAGTTCCTAAAAAAGTTTCGTTGTACACCGAAATAGTTAAAAATATACTTTACAACTCAGCTTGATCACTTAGCAGCAGGACGTTGTTTGTCGATCGGCTACCTGGTAAACAGTGCTGAACAACCCATATATTATAACACGACAATTATATCTTTTGTGAAGCTAATGGAATTCGGTGGAGCAGGGGAACTATTAACTGATTATGGTTCAGACTTGCTCCTTCTCACGCGTATTAAAAGGTATTCTGGATAGAAAAATAAATAGTAACTGTTAACAAAACTACTAAAGGTAGTCGAAAAAGAAAGATCAATACATTGACGTCCTGTCGCGGTAAATCTTTTTACGTCACGTTAAAAAACCGAATACTCGTATCCTGTAGATAACTGTATTTGCTCTCATAGCCAAAACCTAACGAGCTCGAGGCGGATAAGAGTATACCTGTTTTGGAAACGTCAAAAACGTAGACGAACAAGCTTTGAAATAAAATTGCTCGACCATAGACAACGAACGCTTACAATTAAAACAGTGAAACAATTTCTGCGCACATAAGTGTTTACTTTTTGTAACGTAGATCTATATCTGCCGGGGACCTGACTACTATGGCGTGCTGCAGCGTGCAATGTAATGCACGCACTGCATAACATTGCACGCTGCAGCACGGTCACTATTACGGGACATGACGTAAGGATTTGGCAACGAAGCTTCAAGCCTTATAGTCAACGAAATTCAGACCTTCTTGAACTATTCCATTACTACAAACATGACTAGCTAAAGTAGACCATTAAATTTCGAACATCATTAACTTCTGCCTCTGTGAAGTACAAGCCTTTTAGTGCAGTGCCAAGTTTCAAGTTCATTCCACGATCTATATTATTAATGAACAAAAGCAGGCGAAAAAAATATGAGTGACTGTTAAAGATTATTCAGGTCTCATTGTTTTCAGTCAATGACAGTCGATGGGACCAATAGGCATTGTCCTAAGCATTTCCTATAGCAAAATGATCAATTATATCACTAAAATACTTACGCCATAGCGTGCTACTGTTAACTATCTGCAAAAATCGCTATGGTACAGAGCAGTATGAAAACAGTGTAGGATGATCGGTCAGTCGTTGTTGATACCGATGCCAGTGCTCCTATACAGGATCATAAGAATTGCTTAAATAATGGCTACTTTTTTGTTTTATTTATAGCATTTCCTTTTGCAAAGACTTGCTTCAGAGACTAGCACCGAACGCCGCCTTATAAGATTATGAAAGGAAAAATAGGCTATTTTACACTAATCGGCAGTATTTACAGAATAAGTTTTGCAAGCTTCGTCGAGAAATATACATTTTTCACTCAATCCAGCCAAAGTTTTTAACCTCAGCAGACCAAAAACTGTTCAGTGTACAATCTGCATGCTCTGATTTATATTGGTAGCGTTTAGAAACTTTCTACCTAACAAACGTTATTATATTCTAGTATCGCTGTCATTTATCGTCGTTACGATAGCATCGGTGCTGGTTTGTCTTGTATGAGGATACGGCACGAGGGTGACTTTAAGTCCAGTTGCATCTTTTGTATCTTCATCGCTGATGGATCGGTGCTTATACAGATCCGAAAACCCGTACATTAATGGTGTCGTTGCTTTTTCACTGTTCACCTTGTTACTCTTTAGCCCTGTGCCTGCTGTGTCAGGCCACTCTGCTGTCGTTTGCATGCCACTGGTTACGTTTCTCTCAGAACCTGTCTTTGATCGTGAGTTCTCGTCAGTTGATTCGGCTCTAGAGGTGGGGGTAGTGTTCTCGGTGACTATCGTCGTGTATGTGTCTTCGCTTTCGGTCGGTTCGATAGCCAATTCAGTAGTATCTGTATTGTCGCCCACACGATTCGGGTTTCCCGTTCCATTTAATCCTCTGATTCCTGTTGGGCCGCTCACTAGCCCGTCAATAATCCTACCAAGCCACTTAGGGTGGTTGGATAATCGAAATGAAGACCAGAGGACAGCTTCACAAAAAGGAGCTACGAAAAATAACAACCAAGAAATGGCAAAGAAGACTACTAGCCTCATTTTGATACTATTGTATTTCGTAGCTTGAAGTTTAGCTTTTACTTCAACAGACGAATGGCTTGACGAAGATCGAAACCGAAACAAACAGAAGTTGTGATTGGGTTATTGTAAGAGTCGTTGTCTTTTAAAGGGTCAGATCATCGACAGCACTCTCTAATGGGGCGAAACTTAGAGGGAAAGGATTAAGTTTTTGCGCCAACTTAAGCCCATCCGAAAAATTGAAGTATCGAGAGAGATTGAAAAGGTAGCGAAGGAGGACGTTTCCGAAAAAATTGCATAATGAACTTTGCACTGTCGAGGTGAACATCGTCATATACATGTGCTTTTCATAATAACCTGTTAGGACTTGGCACAGCTTAAATCAGCAAAATCTAAGGCTCATTCTACTGCATTATAACCGTTAACAACAGCAAGTATCACTTAAGCTTACATTATAACCTCAAACGAACGTATGGAGGTGCTTTGGGCGTTGTGTTTTGGGTTTTCGGTAAGTATTTCGTTCAAAAAAATAGTAAAACAGAGATCCATATACGTAGCAAGCTACGCAATTAAAGCTCGAAACACATTTACGACAAGGCCATTCCTATACTAAGGTCTTTATATTGCCTCTTCTTTCAAACATACCGAATCTGTTGGTAATGTATATTTTTGCGGAACTATAGAATCGTAGCTAATCAGAATTACTAGAATTCCAATTGAAACATAATAGAAATGTACCATAAGTTCGCTTTACACTGGAACATCAATGAAAACAATTCAGGTATATAGCTTCGATGGCAGCCTATGCGTCTGAATAGCCTTGCTCCATGTTAGAATTTTTGCTTCGATAAAAACCAACAGAACGTTGCACTATGTTCTACACGGTTCATACGTTGTCCGTCTCCATGCGGAGGTTCTCCAGCGCTACCAGATGCTGTCATTAAGCCTGCATACGTGATGCAGCTAGGCCACTAATTTTCTATTATTAATAATAAAATTGAATAGAATGAGAGGTTTTTTGCGCTTTTTCAGCTGCGAAGGATCGTTGTTAGATTCCAACCAGAATTTTTGTAACTGTTTTAATGACACTGTAAACCCAATGTACAGGAAAGGATGTACCTGACACGTAATATACGCTTTACCTCCCAACGTAAAACAATTGTGGAACCTTTTACGTTTTAATCACTCAAAGGAAGTAAATGATACGAGTTGAATTAATTTTTGCCTGTTGTATGCAGATTTGCCTTAACAGGCTTTGCGCTAGGACTGCTCACCCCAACAATTTTTCGTGATGCTTATGAGGTTTTCTTCATGGCCAATTTAAGAATAGACTGATGTGCCTCTCCAAATCAAGTTTTTAACAATCAGGTTTAAAACAAAGTTAGGACTCGTTTGTTAATCAAACTTAACTTAGCACGAATTCGCTCACTTCAGCAAACTTCAGTTCGCAATAGGTCTCAACAAATAATGAACAGTAGACTCTTCCGAAATGTCATGCCGTTCTATTCACTGAAGTTCGAGATACTGCATATAGATAGGTAGTATTTCAACCAAGTTAATGTGATTAAACGAAATCGTCCTTTAACTTGAAAAAATAATAAAAAGTTTCTTTTTGAGAATGCACGCTACTTTTAGGAACTAGCCGTCAAAAACTACACAAAAAGCATCCATAACGCTTCTGATTTCATTTACATCGAAGCATTTTCAGCTAATTTAGAGGTATAAATAAGAGACCTGAGATATTAAGGGTTCCACGGCCGAAAAGTGGCCCCCCTAAATATGCGGTACCTTTCTTTTTGCATATTATTAGTAAGCTTTTAAAGCTGGCCATAGACATTTATTAGATTTATGAAAGAATACGACATGTTCGAATTTGTCTAGCAACTATATATATATATATATATATATATATGTATATGGCTTGTAATTGTGAGAGCAATATTCAAGATAACCATATTCGATGCTATCTTTAAATTGAATTATCTGAATGCTAGCTACGGCAAACCCCAATGAGATTTTCCTGTCTATCTAGGAGATAAAGAAGAACATGTACGATAGATGAAATAGCAAAAAAAAATAACGCATCTCTATGAGTTTTTTTGTGAACTTACGCAAACCTGTAGATTTTCATGAATTTTTGAAAACGTTAGAACGAAATACGTAGACCTCACTCGCAATTTATAATCCATTCAAATGATATTTCTACTTTACAAAGTGCCTCTATTGAAGGATATATTTCTGACGTACTGAAATATAGTAGAACTCTTTATTGGCAGTGAATCATTCCTAAAAAAATTGTCGTATCACAATTGCTTGTCTCCTTACCGAAGGATGCATCTCATTCTTTTCTTGAAAACCGAATGAACCCCATACGGACCTACTGCCAACCCCTCCATTGAGGTGTCAGCCCCAAGTAACGAAAACGTTCGCAAAACTAAGAACCCTTCGTGCATCTTGAAGGTTCAAACTGGGGTTATCGTTTAGGCCAATGTAGAAAACCTATTTAGAAGATCTACAGCGCCTGCTCGATCGTTGTGTACGAGGAAAGCATGAGTAAAAGTAGGCTCGAGATAGGGTTTGCTAGCTCGCCTTGCACAAAAGCATAACGAGAAAGAAAAATATGGTGGATACGTGTCGGCTATAAAGCTAAGCTTTCGACCATAATTTCAGCATTCAAAGAAAGGTTTATCTACCGGTCACGTAGTAGAAGCGTTTTATTTCGGTCCCATGCAGCTGCCATCTTACTCTTCACTAGTTAGTTATCAGACAACAATAACTCTATCAAATATAAAACGTAACGACATTTCAAGCTTTACTTTGACGTCAAATACGCGCTGGGTGATTCGGCCTACTAAAATCCTGCTGTTTACTCTCTAATAGGGTTTCTTCCCTGGAATTATTCAGATCGTGTTTGTGCTCAAGCCAACGGGCTTTCTACAGAAAGCTCTATCCGAGGTGTCCCATAAACTGTTTAGGGATGAATTTAATTTCCAGGTAAGTTTTTAGCTACTTTTGTTAGAAACGCAAGCCTAATAAAGACGACGGAATATGTTATCGATCGTAAAACTTGTCCTTATCGCAGAAATCTTCATCAAAGAATCATTCAAATCGAACGTGGGCCGTTGTTTTCGTTAGATGCATGCGACGTTTACCAGCCATGAATACCTGCACCTTTGGCCACCGAGCCCGCCGCTATGTGCTAATTGATATATCTAACAAAGTAAACAGTTAATACTTGTAATATTAGCTAATTAATATTAGATGGGTCATCATTATTTTCTATAGGTTCCGATAGTGATTGCCGACAAAAAAATCTAAACAATGTCACTGCGTTTTATTTGCTGTGATCGAGTTTGGCATACATATAGAAGATGCACAATTATGTAGGTCTTTTACGTAAAGCAAACTAAGGCTGTTACTATTAACTTTGATTTCAGGTGGTGCTTCTGGGCTCGACGTCCGAGCTCCACTCATACATCCATCCGTGCCAGCTCACTCAGGACGTCGGCGGACATTTACCTTACGACCATCGCCTGTGGTGCGATCAGCGCGCCGTACGTATTTTCGCTACCGACATTTACGAACGCTAATCATTAGCACAAATTCAGAACTCTACGGTGTCCTGGTTCCGTTCTTTCGTACGATCTTTTTAAAGGTTACATCTAGCTTTCTTATATAATATCGCAAAGGAAATAACAGGGAAACTAATACATTCCCGAACTATTTCTCACTTCTAGTAACGCAAGCAAAGATCTGATTTTGTACCTATAAATTAAATTCAGGCTACCATTACTGAAATGCGCTACAGGTTGAAACGGAAAGGAACATACGAGCCTATAGCTTCTCTGTTGGTATGACTACATTTATCTTATCGAAGCGATCTAGCGCCCATTCCACTCTTGCGAGCCTCGTATAAGTTGAAATATCTTCGTTTTAAAACATGCATCTTTAGAAAACTAATCTCTACCCGGACACACTAACATTGAGGTGTTGCGAAGTATAATTCAATCCTTTGTCGTATATCATTATGTATGCGAACAGCCGTACATGATCGCATGGTGGCGATTTTTTGCTTGGGCGGATCACTATGTGCTCAGCAGAACTTAGCTGCATAGGGAACGTATGGTCAATCTATAAAACCATCTTGAGTCCATGGAAAACAACACAATAATGCTACGTAGCTATTTCAAAAAACTAACAGGACACCGGGTACAATTGTTAAAGTACAGCCTAAAAGAGGACTGCTAGGACAGTAGGCTTGTTTAGCGTTTGAATTCATGGCTTCCATCTAACCGAATCTGGTCGCGTATTGCTGTTAACTAACAGGCTCAACTAGGAAAAGCGATTCTTTGTAACCTAAATTTATAAGGAAATCAAGCTGTCAGTGAATAACGTTGTCATCACCTATCATAGAACGCTAAAAGAGAGCTTTGGCTATCGCAGAACCTGGTTCTACAAAACAATTCTTCTAGGAATGATGAGGGTAAAAAGAAGGACCCTAGAATCAAAACGTATTGTCACTGTGAAAGCCTGCGGCGGGTTGACTGGTAAATGCATGAGAGCCAAAATCGACTCATTTCACAGTTATGTTACAAAGAAAACAAACACTTACGTTAAACGTTAAAAAGACAAACGTTAAAAAGATATAACAATTTGTGACGTACATGCTCGAGACGTATTATCGGGAAAAGATTGCTTTCGCATCGGAATTTTCGATGTGAAACATGCTGCAACAAGACATTGTTGAAATTAAGCAAGACCGACCCATTAGCAGCCATGATTTTACCAAAGAACTAGACATATATTATTGGACAGTTTCAAGGGATGGAAACAAGCCATTTTCGCTAGAAGGCGAAGCTCGATATTTGGGGACGACACGAATCAACGCAGACGAATTCCCTCAACCGTACGTACGTCCGTCCGTCCGCTGAATTCGACAAAAACGTAAGGGTATCGAGCCATTTCTAACGCGGTGAATCACGGGTGCTGAATAATAGAAAGTACCTAACAAATAAGTAGAATTTGTGCTCTACAATTTATGGCAGAGCCCATATTGACACCAAAGAAGATGGTTCGGTAAGAGTAGATTAGGCTACATGTTAGCACAGTTGATCCGGGCCGCTACTGTCAACAACTAACGAGCCTACCGTAAGCCAATGAATAGAAATTGACCAGAACTAGGAAACAGAAGAGGTGTTGATCCATCCATTCATCCAGTAGTTCTTAGAATTCATGCAGGGATGCTGAAATCATTTGTCACAATTTTCCTCTTAGAAACATCATGAGCTCCACAGGTAGTGGCGTTATATTCTTGCCATAAAATTGGCAGAAAGTCATCGATCCAAATGGTGAATATTTTATTTAGTAATATTAACATTGTAACAGATATACTAAAGCTATGTTTTGATTTTGCCTCAAGAAACGGTCAATAACTTCTTGACAGAATGATATAAAGAATATAATATAATAATATATAAAGAAAACGAATATATATATCCTTTTTCTTTACTTGACTAGTTTTTTTGATAACAAAGAACGATGTGTGTACCTGCTAAGCTAAAACGTTCGCCCAAAAATAACATAATGGCATAGCAGAAGGTACGGTGAGGCGGGTACGTCAGAAGTTTCAGTCAAGTTAAAAAAGAGTTTCAGTATTTTAGCATCGTGGCTACTAATGGACACTGTCATATTCCTTGTTTTTCTACTTCGATTGCTGCGTATCGCTAGACCACTGTAGGCTTATAGTGGTAGTAAATCTTAATGGTCGCAACGACGCCACCCGTGCCCTAACCGCGTTGCTTGCATACAGACATATGCGACGCTACGAGACCAAAAATTGCCTCGTTTGCAGTACGAAATGCCACGGCAGGTGGGCTAAGCGTACCGCCAGTAGCTATGAATACACCATGACGCGACCTGTATAGTAGCAGATACCTAAGTCGAGGCAGCGATGCCCGCTCAATATCGACCAGGCGTCGTAACAAGCAGATGGAAAACGAAAGTCGGATCTAGTGAAGGCAAAGGCTTTAATATGTTCTGCCAACCTATCACCTAGTTCTCTGCAGTATGGACGGGCAGCTCGGAAGCAATATGGGCTTTGAGTAAGCAGGTGATGGAGACGTGTATCCGAAAGAAAAAGGTAACTGATAACCATGCCCAGCAAAACGCCACTAGCTAGGGCGAGAACATAGAACCCGGGCTAAAAGAAGAAGGGCTAAGGGAAGGATTAACTGAAATATTAATCGAAACAAGTATGACAGGACGCGCACAGAAGTGGGTACGGTCATAGATGCGAATTTGAGCAGGGAGGATGCATAAAGTACGAAGCTCATGTGAACTTAGGAAAGTAAGCAACAAAGCAAAATGGTGGGTATAGGTCGGATTAGTCTTCTGTCAATTCTTGCCATGGCACAACCATAGGACGGATAGCTTACAAGTCTGGAAGAAGTAAATAGAAAGCGATTTGTCATGATGATAGGACAAGCTTTTACTCCCCTTTTCGATGGCTATTTGCTAGGCAAACAATGTTTTACTACATCTAAATACAAAGTTCCAGCCATATATATAGATTTCTTGAAGTTCTGAAATTTTGGTTAGCCTTTTTTATTTTTCTCTACTGTGAACTTCGTAGGCTGTAGAGAAGTACTCAATGTTCCTGGCAGAACTCACCGCCTCGATCCGGGAAGTGTCACGTCAGTTCCAGGAGACAGAACTTCCAAACGATGCCGACACAACGTATAATTTACTCCAGGATCAGGGCGGTATGCAGTACCTAACATTCTGCAGATTCACTAGCTAAAAATATATTCTCATAGGTATTTTATTATTCATTTCGATACGCATAGCATAAAAAGTATGGTACTTATTATTGACACTGAGATCACCGCGAACCCTTAGGACTCGAATAAGGCTAGTCCTTAGTGATGAAAGTATAGCATATAGGTATTATGGCAGTACAGGTTGTAGTTCGCTGCTTCAGTTTACGTGTTCAAAAAAGTACGATAAGGCCAATTCAGTCGTGTAGAATACGACATACGTTCCTTTTTTGCAATTTCATTCCTATAGCTTGTATAAAACTTCACGGAGCAGACATTTCATGGGAATGATCCAGTGAAGTGGTAAGATATTTAGCACGAGAACCAGATAACCCGTTATCAGATAAAAAACCTGAGCAGTTACTTCCGTGTCTTGAATAATATCTCTTGTGAAAAAAATAACTTTTACAGGGGAGTACCAATGCCTGAAGGATTCTTTACTATCGGCGGCGCAACGAGGCAAGGATCTTCTAGCAAAAGTAAGAGTTCAGCCTCCCGAGGTGATTCCGTACAATGCGTTGGACATCGAAGACGCCCGCCAGCGACAACAGCGCCAGCGTAGGCTCAATGGTAACGAGAACATAGTTCGTCAAATGATGGCCGAAATCGCCCAACATGAAAGGGACCTTGACTCATTTTGGCTCCTGCACAAGGAACGGTTAGTGTCAGCAGCCGACATAGCTCATTAATAGCGTAATCTTCATATTTACACTTAAGATATAGGAAGATGTTTAACGGAACATTATTTCCTCTGAATCAAAGTTCTTCAATCGTCTAGTTAGCGTATTTGATTTACTGACACATGAACTAATGACTCGATTTTGTATTGCCGACATTACCAAGATATCAGTGGTCCACGAGCGATTAAGTTTGATTGATTTGAGTGATTCTCATTATAAAATCCTGCGTTTCAGATTAAATCAGTGCCTCCAGCTGCGGCGATTTGAAACGCAATTCAAAGAGGTACACATGAACATGGCTGCCAATATCCGCGACGTCCGCGATATGGTCGAGCTTGGGGATTGCGTCACGAGGGTTGACACACTACTTTCGGAGCTTGAACACTTCCATAAGATAGCCGAGGTGAATAGCTATATTTTATCCTATAGCCATGCAATGGGAGCAAAGACCTACCGCTTGTCCAGAAATCAAAACGTACTTCTCCTGACCAGTATTATTTAAAAACACATCGTCTTTGAGACATATACACGTTGCTGTTAATCATTGCCATTGGCTGATTATTTGCAGGACGACCTGGAAAAGGCAGACCACCTTCAGCGGATCGGTTCTCGACTGTTGGAAGGCGGCCATTACGCAATGGACTCGATCGAGCCGAAATGCGTCGAGCTGAAGCGGTTATGCCTCGAGTTTAAAGACAGCTATCAACGTCGAAGAGAAAAACTTGTCAGATACAGAAACCTTCAGGAAAGAATCGAAAGAGCCAATAGGTGAGATACAAATCGGCAAGAGTCTACCCTATCCCTGAAGTAGCTTGAATATAGAATGATTAACAATGATATCAAGATCGCGACCTGTTGTAATGGTCGAAACAAGTAATGTTAGGCTAGGTAAATAGATAAATTTCAGGGCAAAGGGGTAATAAGTCGCAGTAGTTGTACTACAGAAGCAACAGCTGATCGATCCGCAACGAATTATCCCATCGACTGCAGACGGTGGCCATTACTAGCCAATGATTGTATCCGAGTGCGCCTGCAAGCTAATAATGCATCAGACATTCGTGAAAAACCTCATCCTAAAGGTCTTTCTGTGCGATGTAAAGATCTATCTACCGGTAACATACATTCGTTAGCAGTTTTAACAGCTACAGTGGGAGGTGACTTGTGTGAATATGGTTCCCGATAGCCTGATAGACGGCATAAAGTCCAGTTCTTTTCAAGGAGACAAAGAACTGTTCATAGGCACCCGGTGTTATTGAGTGCCTGTGTGCTGGCCTGGCTGTGTGTCCTTTTTGGTGTTTAAAGCGTTGACGTTTTGCCTAGCAGTCCCGATCGTCTTGCTCTCTAACACGGGCCCAGTCTAGAAATCGTTATAGCTCCCTTTGGGCTGCATTAGACTTGTAATTTGGCATCTCAACATTGCCTTCAGAAGCATTCTTACTCCATTTCGGTTTTTCCCTTTTGTCTTGGCCCTAGCTCCGTTCGAATCAGTAATACCGATACGGAAAAACACAGGTTACAAACATACGAAGTATAGGGAGCAGCCTGGAAGCAGTCGCCTCGAGATCGGGTTAGGTGCAATAGAGCGCAACAGCAGCAGAGATAATAAACATCGCCCAAGGCTGCTATATTTACCTAACCAATTAAAAACGTACAGATTTACGTACTTCTCGTTACCCAACGTTAGTAATTGTTTTTCTGAATAAAACCGACTGAGCTGCCGAGTGTTCCATGCCATAATAGAAGATACGGTGTCTTTGAAACTTATTCTAACCGGCGGTTCTCATCAGATGGTGTACCGAGGGAATCGAGTTACTGGCTGGTCTCCACATTGACAAGTGCAGTTCGCCCGATTTCGCAAAAAAAGCACTTGAAGATCTAAATCGCTATCTGGAAACAGTGAAAGAGTTTCAAATGGGTGAAGATGACGAGTACTTCGAAGATTTTATCAACAACGAAACTCGGCCACTCTTGCAACAGGTTAGTCTTCGTTCAGTTATTTGTCTTACTACCTAATCTAGATTATTAAAGTTATAAATTACATCTGACACTGCGCGATGTTATGTTTTCAATCACTACTTCAATCTTAATAACGAATGGTGGTAAAGAACCATGTCTGCGCCTGGATTCGCACCGGACCCATAGATTTCAGTTGTATTGTTACATCTTGTATAAGACTCGATTGGTTTAGTTGTAGGACTTTTTGTTTATGTTTAAAATTATGAAATGAGTTCAAAGTCAATTATTCTCGTTCAGGGTTCAAATATTGTAAATTTCGGGAACATAAGAGAGAGCAATTAAGAATTAGTCGGTTATGGCCTTGACATAACTGAGTCCAACTTGAGCCTCACGCTCGGCCTACATGAATTAGACTTTATCCAGTCCTAATTAAAAAGTCTTGCTAAGCCGGCTTTATTCACAGATGTAAGTTGAATTATAATAGATTGATTTGTCATTACTCATAGGCAGTTATGGCTGCTAGAGAGCGCACGTCCATATATGGCCGACTTGGCTATGCAATGCGTGGGTCTCGGTGATATAGTCGTCTCAAGTTTGAAATGGCGTCGCAGTTGATACATCTTGATGACATACATGACCGCAGTCTTACCGAGCCTTTTACTTGTGTTGGCGCCTTCGCAGGGATAACAGGTATTGATCGCTCACATGTCATACGTTTCCCTGGGGATACATTATTAACGATACAGCTGTTGAATCCCTCGATGCCTATACTAGTTGATGCAAGGATGCCAACAGAGGTAACAGCAGATGCTTATAAGCACCATGATCATCTTTTGGGCTGACTAGGAAAAAATCTACAGGCGTGCGCAAATGAAGGGATGAATTTCAATATACAAATGATCCGACACTAAGAGGATCAAGTCAACGGGCCCTGCTCTGTGATTTCTATAAGTGCTTCTGTTTACGATACAATGTATCTTTTCCAAAAATTCGTTTATTCTTCCCTATCATTCTAGTGGCTGTTTTATCAGAATGACTGGTACTTGCCAGGGTGAGCGAGTGCTCACAGTCTATCGTAAATTCGCCAGAATTTTTTGGTTTGAATTCGAGGACACGTTTGAATATTAAACTTACCATACGTCTAGTCTATGTTCGAATCCGAGCATATAAACAATTGGTTTTGCTATTGAAGACGCCAGTCATTTGAAGCAATGCTTGATGGCGGCAAACGATCGAAACGTTATTTTAATCCTGAATTAGTCAGGAGAAATACATAGAAGGTTTTTAAGTGCTGGCTCTCATCTACATGTGGGCCGGATAATGATTTGAATTGCTAATTTTAATAGATAAAATTGCGTAGTGGGTCAGAGTAGGCTTGGGAAGAAGAAGAAATTTTGTAACAGGATGAGACTACAGTGGTGTAAAAGCTGATACATAGCCAAAGTGAATTATGCCAAGTTCATTTGATTTTAATTTTCAACTTTATGACTTTGTTGACCTTTGTATGTACAGACCCAAAAACTGCAAAGTTGTTGCTTTCATGCTTTAGATAATAGCTGACATGCAGAACTTCGGCATGATGTACAGCCACGCTAAAACCGATGGTAATTTTTACGATATTGCAAGTATAGCACTGCGTGGACTTTCTGCTGAAAAGAGTAACTGAATTGTATTCTCTCGAGCAGCTTAGATGATATAGATCGATTCTATTTTTCTTCAAGCAACTTGTGTTTGCAAAGATCCAAATCAGCACAAAGCCTATCAAAGGTTCACGTGACCTAGAAATAGTCATATCTTCATAAGAATAGGCACTAGTCGGTACTACTTCTCCGTTTTCTTTGCATTAATTGAAAAAAGCTAGGGCGCTCCACTTGGCTCGTTAATAAAAGCAAAGGATGATTTACGCCATCCCCCTGATTGTGTAGAGGTAACGTTTAAAATGCTAGAAACCTGTGAAACGATTTGTGATCGACACTTCGATCTTCCATTAAAAATGCGAATAGTAGCAGGGAAGGTAATGGTGAAGACAATCCTCATATCTCCATATTCTCCTGATCCGCCTCTCCAAATTGCTCGTATCGCGCCCTTCCCATTTTGAAGAAAGAAGCCCCTGGAAAAATGCCAGTCAGTAGGGAAAATGTTTATTAATTAGAAAAAAAAAAATACTAATATGTCAAGAGGTTTTTCTGAACAGAGCATATCCCTAAATAAATCGGTAAACAAAACGATAATTTTTCTTATTATTAATTTCTTACTAATTTTCCAAATTATTTTTTATGACAAATTATAATGCGATCGTTTGTTGACAGTAAATTAAAAATCTAAAATTAGTCGTATCTATTCCGACATCATAGGTTACTATTTAATTCATGTTCACTCCAAGTTGGATGAACATACTAAACATTTATTTTAAAGGACTTTGTCTTTACTTAATTGTCAATCCATAGACAATCGACTTATAAAGATCATTTATTTTTTGCGTACTTGGTTTTTATTCTCTAGACTATTCTGGTAAGTGACTAGGGTATCGTTGAGTCACCTTCATAGGCACTATTGATATATTTATAAAATCAAATATGTACTCGGGACCCTGGTTTAGGTATCCCTCCTTCCATTAAGGGAAATAAGATTTTCTTAATGCGTGGATTTGCCAAGAGACGCGCAAAACAGCTCGCGGCTACAACAGGTAATTTCAACATGAGGCATGATCAGCTAGGTATATTTATACAAGGATAGAAGATAAGGCCTTTAAAAGAAAACATAATTCGTTGCTTTGTCCAGTTGAAGTTTTTCGCTCGCTTTCGCGTATTTAGTTGATCCCAGCAGAATACCAGCCGTTATGAGAAGCGATCGAAGCGAACTTACCCACGATAGCGTTTCGCAATACGGCGAAGTATCTTGGGGAAATATCTGTTGGAAGTTTACCCGACAATGCTGGGTCTAACTTAGCGGTGATGTCGCTATTCCCAGACTCGACGCAGCCTATAAAACGGAGTAAAAGTGGCACGTTTGCGAATTACCGATAAAAGTTAACTCGGATCGCCGTTGAGGTCTTACAACTAATGGCAGTCGCTCTCTTAGGGCCCTTAAAAAGAGGCAGCTGCTACAAACAGCTTGCACGCAGCTGCCTTACAGATATGCAAGGTATGGCGGCAGTGGCAAGATCTGTAGCGTCGTATTATGCCGTAGAGGGATACTTGGCTTATGACATACGATCTCTTTTGGAAGCTCCTCGGTAATTGTGTTTCCCAAGGGCCCAACGAATCAAACCCAAGGCGCCCGATGCAGGCCTTTCCGTGCTCTTGGTACAATCTTGTCGGCCAGCTACGTGCTATCTTTAGTAACTCTTTTGACACACCTCTTAGGCTTAGCTGAGTCGAATGTCAACCCGGGCGATACTTTCTAGTTAGTCTAGCAATTCATTAGTCTGCTCAGTATCGCATACATAGGGCAAACTACCCTACTGCTAATGTTAAAATGAAGCTCTTCGACTGATCATCATGGCCACTGGTTTTAGCCTTCCATTCAAACGTGAGAAACAATTCAAAATATATATATTCACAGTTCCCTCAATGACAATGGAAAATTTATGAAATATCCAAACCTAAAAGTAGCTTTGTTTCTCTAATTAGACTTAAAGTTGGATTTTTTAGTCGAAGGAACTCCTTTCGATTTCTTTGTAGGGTGCCCATAAGGTAGTAATAAGCTAACGGTAACCGAGTGACAACTTTGGATCGAATTGCAATAAGAGCAAGGAAGTTAAGCAACGCGAACATATTGAACATGGGAGTCAGCGTTCTAAAGTATCGATGCTGGGTAAAGCAAGGAGACGAGTTACAGGGAATAAAGTAGCACAACTAGATAACGTGATAGCTCGAATGGCCTATTTCAGCTTTACAGAATCAGGATTATGACTAATCAGTGGCCAAAAGATAACTACTGTGGTGAGTTCGGGTTCTTCAAAATAAAATATACGCTTTCAGTTCAGGTCGCATAAGTTTAACTCGTTTAAGTCGCGTAACTCTTAAGAAGAGTTACGTTAGGAAAAGTAACGGTAAGACGTTGCGGATACGCCAGTCCGGTGCGTAAGTTCAATGTGACTCGTGGTACGAGAAGTGAATACAGACGTTAGGGAGCCCAATGGCCCTTAGGAACAGATAAAAGATCGTGAATCTTGTTCATACTGAGTGAAACAAGGATGCATGGGGGTGATTCGTCTTATAGTTCCATTATTAAACATCTTAATAATGATCATTTGCCTAACTTTTCTTCACCGAAATGGTAGTTGTCATTTTCTGCCCCTTTATATTATCTCAGTTGAACCTTTTAGTACTACCATGACTTTTAGCAACATTTATATTGAAAACTTCGTACATCTTCAACGCGTTACTCAGTGGTTATTCGGTTAAGTGACAATAAGTCAGTAAGAAATATTATCGTTCGACTGAGCCTCGACCAAATTGTTATTCTAAGTAATAAACATGATAACTGTAAGATGTTTAAAAAGGAACACTTTTGCGTATTGTAGATAAAGGTATATAGAATCGCTATTGTTACGGACCGACCGGCCGTAGGTGTACAAAAGGAATAGATCAAACGGTAATTTCGGAATGATTTTAGCAAGAGTATTCAGAGTAGCGCAGAAAGCAATTCTCCGCTGAAACTTTCTTTGCCTTCGCGTATGACGAGAACGACAGGTTGACGACTGCACAGTTACGTTTAAGAGAGAGAGCTTGTTTCGCCTACAGTCAACAACTTATCCCCTCGTCCTAATGTTCTGATAGCTTCGAAAAGTTGTCGAAGTTTATTCTACAGACTAGCCGGCACTTGTTTATGTGTATAGTCCCCATCCTTTGACGTGGAACTCGATTCTTCCAATTGGCTATTGGTATCGGTGACACTACAGCAAATGAGATATAGATGCCATGTAGCCAAAGGACAACGGATGTGGATAGTTGCTTTTAAACATTTTTTTACTAACCAATTTTCCATCGCATCCCCTGTTGAGGGCCATCTACTGCTAACTTTCTCTATATTCGATTCGGAAGGGCAGCGGGATATTCGTTTCAGGCCCGGTTCTCTCACAATATGTGCTTAGCACCTTCGTAAACGCTGAGCTACTTCATTTTGTTAGTGCACCACAAACGGTGCACTATGGAGGCCGCTAGCTAATTCCGGGATTGCCTTCGTTTCCCAATGCACGCGCCGTCACTGCTCAATTCTTGAGTTACTTTGCAATTGTGCTTATTATGGTTGCTGCTTTCATTGAAGTAAACAAGCGATTATTATGTAGGTGATGGAAAAAAACTGTCAAAGGAGATCTCTGGACGGATACAGGAGTCGGAGGGGACGCTAAAGCGCATCGGCCGCAATGCATAGAGAGAGGAATTAATGGACGGCGAAGAAATTGACAAGAAACTGAGTCGTCGTGTTTTTTTTTAACCTGTTTTCCGATTCCCTACTTTAGTCGGTTTCGTTTTGGCACTACAGCCGTTTCTGCCGGTGCTGTTGCTTTTATCAAAGCTGAAATTTCCGAACGGTGTACATGTCTTGGCTCTGATTCCCGCAAAAACTTTCTCTGATTATACAAGCACCATATTGTTTGAATGGGCTGAATACGACGTTACCCAAGAATCCTCCATTTTGCCATTGCAAAGAAGCAAAGTCGCCGAAGAAAATGACTGAGCTTATCAAGCTAATTGAATCTACTATCGCTTGCCTTGAGCAGCCAACCCAGAAAGATCAGATGGACCCAGAAGTCCTTAGCAGTCGCCGGCGCCAAGAAAGCAAGAACAAAACAGAGGAATTAGTTCGTTTGCCAGACATGCAGACTTTAATCCATTCGGAGCATTGCCAGTCAGAAGAATCGTCATTAATCCAACGGTCACTGCTACAATACGTGGGGCTTTCACCATGGAAGAAGGGTAGGGCCGCAGGAGAACAATGAGTAGTAGCGGAATGAGAAAGGAGGGTAGTACGACAAACACACGCCGGTGTCGCAGGCTATCCGATCGTGAGACTTGTCGGGACTTTCGGTCCACTAACCTAACTTTACCTAGCAAGGGTCTTTTCAGCTAGCCGAGCCAGCTAGTTTGGGGTACTCGATGCTGATACAAAGCCGGAGTCTACTGCGTTGTGGCAAGTGTAAGATAAGCCTTAAAATTCCCTCTAATTTGTCTGCCTTTTTTAATTGGAAAGTTTCAAGGTTTTGACGGGAACGGTCACGCGAGCAGCAGCCGGTAATCTTTTACCTTTCCTCCTCTGTATGGTACAGTCGGAGCAAACCGGCCATCTTTCCTACGATTGCGCTAGCTCTTAATCTCAACTTTGGCGACGATCCCTCGAGGCAGGAAATGCACCTGTGAGAGCACGATTGTCTCCAGGGATCGTATATCTTTACGTCCTACTCGGGTCACCAAAAAGCTTCTTAGTAACTGTTGCTAGAGCCCGACTACGCATTTCTCTACGTATCTGAAAACACCAGTTTTTCAATTGTCAGACCAGATACAATGAGCACAATTTCCAATTCAGCTTATCCAACTGATGTTGACACATCATTTTGCTTATTCATACACGAAGCTGTATTCCAAACATGTGCATATCTTTCGTCCGATCAAGTTTTGTGTCGGAAGTAACAGTCAAGGTGACTTGATCAAAAGTCACCTTGACTGTTACTTACACAGAAACTATATTATATCTATCAACAGTACTTTGCCTGAAAGTATTAACAATAGTAACATTTTGCGGCTCATATCGACGTCTGCTATTGGAAGTATACTAAACAATGTGAATGTGGCTGCGTTTATCTTATTATTGAGTGCGCATCAGTTAATACCCGGCATAATATCGAATCGGACACCCCTCAAGGTACATGAGCTTGCGGATTTAATTTAATTTATTATTATATTTAAATAATTTAATTTAAGATAATATCAATATACGGCCAGTTACTTGTTTCGCGTTATGAAATTTCGAATTGTAAAGCTTTCAACGAAATAATTTCTAACGAGAAAAACTTTAGCATCGAGGCAACGGATAACTTCCACATACGCTGGCGACCCTTCTTCGGTAAGTGTTGGAGGAGGTTGAGGCCTGCATGGTCGACCCGACGAGACTTGTATGAAAAAGAGTGAGAGGAGAAGGCGGTTAGCACTAAACACAAAGACATTGTTAAAGAGGCAGCGAGGTAAAAAGTTGACGTCAATCACTTCCCCAAGGATATGGGAACAAGGCAGCTTCGAGAGACGATAAGGAAATTAGGCGCTAAGCGCAGCTCATCTCTGTAGAGAGGGGGGTCTGTTGAAGGCTGTTGTGAGGTTGACCTGACTACTCAACGTCTTGTTTTATGCAATCTTAATCACTTTAAATCATATCGGGCGCGTCGTAACTATAAAAACGATGTTGATATTTATAGCTATCATAGACTATGCGATGGATATTAATGGACAACATTGTTAATGGGATAGTTAAGCACGCAAAAGCAACTGTCATGTGCACGAGCTCCCATTTCAAATAATTCTCAATTTTCCACTCTAAGTATCACGCCGTTGGGTACTCTGTGAAGCACATTCTGTGAATCAGTAACGTGTTCTATCTTTGTTGTTCGTTCTAGCCTAATAAACTTGTGAAGTCGCTAAGCCCAGAGAAGTACGTTTAATCACACACTGTTTTTATTGTTGTTTATTTCGCTTGTGCCATTTTTAAATTCGTGGTGCTGTCTGACACAGGTACTGAAGCGCATAGATGACGTTCGAATGATGTGCATCAATAGGCAAGCCTCTTTTCGAAAGCTTGCGGCTAGTCGGCCCGCCCCGAAGTCTACTGCCGCCGAAACGCCAGCATATTCTGGTAGTGACATCGCAAGCAACACAGCAACTAAGGACAGCAGCAGCAAGGACGTAAAGAAGGATTCGGAACAAGGCAGTCCAACGTCGTCAACACGTTCATCTCTCAAAAGCAAGGTGCATAGAGCCTTCTCGCTGTCTGTCCTCTCGCTTGATTCATGGAGGCCTCGAAGGCGACATTCAACCTAACAAAAAACAGATCGAGGACAAAAACAATTCATTGATCCCCTTCCCTCCCGGCTCTGTTGAACTGAGCCTTCAATCACTGAGGTTATGTGTTGTTGTTAATATGTTTCTGTATATCACGGATCAATAAACTGAAGAGCGTCGCCACTTTATTGATCACGCAACTCTAATAAAACGAACCCACGTTTGAAGTGATAGATAGAAATTGCAAAATTTCAAACTTACTAACGCCTTACTTACTAGTATACATGATTTATTTATTGGTTGGCGATACTTCCGCTATTTTTCGTCCTTATTCGTATTTATAAACAATTTATACACAAATGATTCTGTCAGACGTTTATTAAGCATTCATTGTCACTACCTATCATCTTTTTTTGTTTATCTGCACGGTCCCTTCTGCGTAATAAACTTGTAGTCCTAGTATATCATAGCGAGTTACCTCAACGTAAAGCAGGTATATTTTAGATTATAGGATAATTGCCGTAGTTCCCATCGATGTAAGATGAACAAACTTTGCTACTGGAGATGATCATAGAGCATTTTTCACTGTGGCTTCACGAAGTCACTTACTTTCCTGCCTGCTGATCTACAGTAACTTGTGAGACCCTGAAACTTCACGAACATGAAGCGGCGATCATTGTTTGATGGCATAAAATTTGTTACATACGACATAAATGATAAAAAAAATCGTATTTGTATAATAAAGACATGACAGTTTTATTATTTGTGTTGCGTTTTGCTCATTTTACATTGACATCTATGCTCATATGGATATTAGCTGTTGTTTGTATTATATGTATGTGTCAATCAGTCTATGTGGTGTTCAGATGATAAAACAGCAGGTGAGTTCTTGGTCAACTGGCTTTACTAAATTAGTTAATAACATCAATCAGTTTCATCTGTAACCCATCTAACGCCACTTACCCACATCTAATAACCCACATGCACTTCAACCCAGTATCGTGGTAAGGTTTCACCGCCATCGTTGTCAACGTTCTCAACGTTATGTTACAAAACTAATTTATACATTTCGCTTGTCATTTCGTTACCTGGCTTTGATTATTATGGCACTGGAAACTGTTAAAGTAACCTGGGCAAATGTGTACTGCCTCCTAGCAAAACTCGTACATGCGCACATTCAGCTATTACTTCATGACATATTGTACTACGTCATGAAGTAATAGCTAGAATTACTAAGACACAGTAGAGGCATTCGCTAATGTTTGCTTGATACTTGTTCATTGATTCGACTTTTCAGATTGAGGTGCAGCTGCCGCTGGAAATTTCATGCGCCTCACTCACCTCACCGACCGAGAAGCTTAAAGATGATAAACGGGGGTAACTACCAAACTAACAACTTGTGCCTGTGTTTCCTATAGACGACTAATAAAATTTTGCCCCCCATAGAAGTTACAAGGGACGCGTTTCACGATGTTCTACAATATACACTTTACTTGAATATATGAAATTGAGTTGCCAAAGGACTCTATAGCAATATGCATTCATATAGGTGAGATTTAATGTCGAGCATCTATGCCAGTCTAACGAGAGCCTTAAAATTAGCTTAGCCCATATGGACCTCAATGGTGCGTTTGATTTTCTTAGATCAGTGATATTTGTGGCGTCCTAAAATGCAGCTTGAGGCTCTTCTTAACATGCGTAGTATTACGTCTGTGGTTGTTCAATGTGCCCAAATGCCAGCTTATTTGGTTTTTCTATAAAATCAAGTATCAAGGGTTCGTTAGTTTATCCATTTGAAGTTCCATGCCGATTGATTCAACGAGGCACCCTCAAAAACAGAACAGAATCAATTTGTTCAAAAAAGAAATTAAACAATACTGTATGTCTATGCATCGTTGTATGCATTATTATAGAATTTACGCATATACAGTTTTATCGGTGTGCTTATCAAATTAGACGATCATATGAACACATATTGTCATTGAAGTTAAACTTACGTTTACAACTTTTCACATATATGTAGGATGATTTCAAGTAGCACCATTGTTAATTCATGTCTTTCGCTATACGTTTCGTAATCAGCCTAGTTAGCGTTCGCTCAGGTTTGCAGGCTTAGGTTTTTGCTGGACTGAATAGAGGGCTGATATAGAGCAACTTCCTCGTAACAACTTTTGACTTAATCGTTCCCTTGGTTCTAATATAATTTTCCATGCAAATATACTGCTTCTTCTCGCTGCTGTTTGAGCATGCTTCAGACGTTTCTTGCTATAAAAAACGTTCTGTTCTGTTGTACTTTAATGTTGAAACGCTTTTACAGTCACGTCATGCAAGAGCTAATTGAAACGGAGAAGAGTTATGTAGCAGAGCTGAATTCAGTCGTCGAGGGCTACCAGAAACAAATGTCAAATTCTGAACTCAAGCCGCTAATTCCTCCACCGCTTGTGAATCGTGCAGATGTGCTTTTTGGCAACATGGCAGACATACTTGCCTTCCACCGTGATGTGTTCCTCGGCGACCTTCAAGGGTAAGTTCGTTTCAGTGGTCAGCAATTAAAATTGGCAGATACAACCAATCAACTACAGCAGTCAATAACGAATATTAAGCCAATTTTGTCTGGGTTGAGATAAAATTCACGAGACGACACACAACCTCAGGTGGGTAGCCATAAACAAGATATCTATTGAAAAAATTCGATAAATCTAAATAATTGGAAAATGCTCCGTACAAAGGAAAAAAGAGACGCTGTTGTATTTGAAGTACAAATTCACCACTAAACATAGGCCAACCATTGTCTAGGTGATAAGTATCTCAACAAGTCATATTATCAAGGGATACATGTTAAAATAGTAGGGTTGCAAAGAAAATTCACTGTGAAACACCACAGTGTTTATTTCGGGGACAATAGGTAAATATGTTATTTATTTAGCCCTCGTAACTTTTCGCGAGTGTCCGCCAGAATTAGGTGTGCCGTCTTGCCAAAAAGAAACAAACTTCATATTGAAGAAGTTTTCTAATCACGTGTTGACTTTTCGATCCGAGTTGAGCGTAAGGCCGTAAAAATAAACTTGAAAGGAAATTACCCAATCAACAAAAAAGGTAAAAAAAAATAGAATATGGACGGTCCAACAAAACCTCCTATTCGAAGTCTAGAATGACGGGCGGCTTTGACAATGTTCGCCTATCTTGTTGCATATTACTTGTATCATCGTCGTTTCCGATTGCCAGCTCACTCCCAAGTCGACAGGGCCAGTGAAAGTATGACTGGTAAGAAAGCCGAGTCCGACTTCTGCAACGTTTGTTACTCTCAACATTAATTTGATTAGGAACTTCCTATAGAGAAATAATTTCAATGAGTAACCTTTCATATTACAGGTGCCAGACAACACCTGAGCAGGTGGGACAATGTTTCGTACAGCGAAGCGAGGAATTTCATCAATTGTATAGTGTCTATTGCATGAATAAGCCCCGCTCCGAAGCGCTTAGAGCGCAATGCGCCAATGACGATGCCTTCTTCAAGGTAGGCATCCACAATCAGTATAGCTTTTATATATATACGAGTACGTAAATCGCTAGTACCTTGTCCTTAATCTCCTCTGATTTATGTTATGAACATTTTGATAAATGCGGTTTGAGAGATGATGGAATTTCAAGCTGATTGTCAGATTTATCCTGCTATTGTCACCATATATGTTGTCATATGATGATTATGATTTGCACCTTTTCAGGAGTGCCAACGAAGACTTCAGCACAAGTTACCCCTTGATGCGTATCTGTTGAAACCGGTACAGCGTATAACTAAATACCAGTTATTGCTCAAGGATCTACTTAAATACGCGACACTACGAGTTGCTCATGGAGACGACGCTTCACTACGAGATTCGGAGTCTAACCCTGCAGCTTCAATCCCCGTGTTGCCGGGTCTTCAGCACGCGTCCGCGAGTACACAACAGCTGCAACAAGCCGTAGACACGATGCTCGACGTGCTTCGACACGTGAACGACTCTATGCATCAAGTTTCTATCACAGGCTTTCATGTACGTATAGTACATATTGTATAGTTGATTATGAATAGTTGATAGCTAAAACAACGATTGAACGACGTTTGCTTGGTCTTCTAAATCTAACCTATGGAAATACTGTTTAACTAGATAACGCCATTTGACCAATGTTCGTCCCTGTTGCTGACGTTCGCTTTCAGGGCTCCTTGTCTGATTATGGGAAGTTGTTATTACAAGGGCCATTCAATGTCTGGATGGAAGAAAAAAAGAGAGAACGGTCAGTGAAAGATTTGAGATTTAAACCTTCGCGAAGGTACATTTTTCTCTACGAGCAGTTGGTTCTTTTCACCAAGAGGCAAGGACGAGATGAGAACCTATCCTATGCATTTAAAAACGCTCTCAAGGTATGTTTTTTGTTTAGTTTACAGGGGAGGATTATCCTAAATCTGAAACTGTCTGAGCAATACCGTTTCCCTATCCAAAATGATGTCATTCCTATCAAAACGTTGTGTACATTTTTTCTTTTTTTCACACGAAAATTTTGCCGGTTCGGGTAGACGCCTCATACGGTCATAAGATATTTACTCCAAGGAAAAGCATATTTTGTGTAATAGAAGTGATGACTTCTCGAATTGCAATTACGTCCCATACATAATTTACTATTTAAAATATATTCCCGGAAGCCTGAACAGGGTCCTCATTGAGCCTTACTGTATTCAATTTCTTTATTTTATATCGTTTCAGACATCTCAGATAGGTCTAACTGAGAACTTGAAAGGACGTGGTGATAAGCGCAAATTCGAGGTATGGCTACACGGTCGGTCGCAGGTGTTTACTATCCAGGCACCAACAGCGGAGGTTAAGGAACAATGGCTACGAGCTCTCAAAGGCGTCCTGTTGCATCAATTCGAGCTACTCAAAGACGAAAATTCACGAAAATACATTGAATTATCTTCGTACATTTCTACCCGACCAATAATACAACACCATCGGTACATAGCCTCAAATAGTAGATGAATTAAGGAGTGAGAGAAAAATTGAGAGCTGGTTTCTATATAAAATGTAATAAATCAGGAGCAATAGTTAGTCACTATCTCATAACAGAAAAATTATTAGATATTTCTATTACGTTTTTTTTTACGGATATCTATCTTTTATAAGAGCTACGATATTATCCACTCTTGTATCTAGTATCTATCCCCCCCCCCGCCCGCCCCCCCAGGTAAATAAGGCAGGTGCAACGTTTTCGATCAATACTCTTCTGGATACGTGCGCTTACTTAGCAAGCCCTTCAACAACAATGACATTTCTAATATTTGCGATCTCTTCTGTTCTTTCCATCTTCCTGTGCGTCCTTCCGTCGTGTTTTTTATCCTTTTTTTTTTCTTACAACTTAGACCGATGCGACACAACACGATCGGTGGGCCTAATTCAACAAGTGGAGTTCCAGGTCACCTGGCCTTCTCCGCTCTTGGCGGCTGGGAGCGGCATCATTCGCTACAGAGCACTCCCATCTCAACGCCGACGGCTTCACTTGGTCTCGGTGAGCATTATTCTTCTAATTCGTCACTGTCCGCCTTGCCGAATTTCACATTCAACCTACAATCGTCAGCCGACTGTCGAGCGATACCCGGCTGTGAGGGGCCCCAGCAGAAAAGTCCGCTGGGCCGACGCGCGACTCTGCCAGCTCTACGGCGAAGGGCCGATTCGGACGTTGAGGACGGCTGGTCAACTGATGATCTCCGCTCCGACGAGGATGATGATGAGGAGCTGTTTGTACCACCCTCGCAGGTGGGGCATTTATACTTAGCCCTTGGCGATTACTCAGCAGTTGACGTTGGTGAAGCGTCGCTATGCGAAGGACAGACCGTACAGGTACATAATACGTTCTCGTTTTTAATTATCTATCTTGAAAGATAAATGCATAGCAACCTATAGATGGTTAACTATGGAAATTACGAAATATACGAGTTGTGTATGTAATAGTATGTTTATTGGCGATGTAACATGGCTAGTGGGTCTGTCAAAGCTTGGCAACCTGCATATTTTTCATTTACATGTTTCAAAAACGGTATCATACATAAAAGGCTGTATGTTATCATACATTTTTTAACAGAATGTATGAAGTCAATTATACGTTTCAATTTTATTTCGTACTAGCTGCCGTATTAAGTTATATTTATTCGTTTATGAATTTTACTGAAGTCAGCGTACCCAACAAGCCGATGCTGACATTTAGAGCGCGTCACTAATTTATCGCTCTTGCATTACGTCACGATTGAACCAAGACACTGATTAAATTCCGATGTCTGATTAGGGTCGTATGATATATTAATACGTAAAACTAAAATGAATAGACTCAAGTAAATTGTCTATAATTGATATGTTCGATTTAGGTTATGCGAGTGGGATGTGCCGGATGGTGGTACGTGCGGGGCGTGGACCAGACCTTAGAAGGCTGGGTACCAGCCTCATATTTAGGGGCAGTTGCTACAACGGGGGGCGCGAACACAGCCATTGGAGCGACAAACTGCAGAGTCCCGATAAACACTCGCTCATCACCTTCGATAAGTAGCCAAGGTATGTCGCTCTTTAGGTAATAGTTCAGCTGATCAAGCAAGTGAGTGCAGAATTGCCGATCTTCGCTCGATATAATCAATTCCTATTTTCCTAAAAACGTCTTTATTGACCATGACCATTTGTTGGAACAGTTCTTTGCGTAATATACAGTGCTCCGGTAATCGCTTCAGCTAAACAGCATTACGTAGTACTTTATATACTTTGTATAATCATCGTCCAATCACCTCATCCAGATCTAACGAATAATTTACCTTTAGCTTAAATCCCAGAACCGGGACCGAACTCAAACAGGGTGTAGCTACATGTTAGTTAATCTTTGAACTTATAAAAGTTCAAGCTAATTCTCTGCACATAGTTTATAGATCTCATTTATAGATTTCCTGTTTCCCCATTCGTTCGATGCGCCTATTAAAGCAATATATATATATATATATATATATATATATATATATATATATATATATAAAGCTTATCAAGAACTTATTTCAGATTCGGGTTGTGGTGTGGGCCCGTCGGGGCCGGGTCTTCGGCACACTTATAGTAGAAACAGTGTTGCAAGTAACCTGAGCACTACTTCATTGGACCCGTAACTTACCTTCTCGTATACGGAATTGTCGGGGGACGCAGCCGCAGCGCGCATCGGCCAACTAATGACCACAAGCAAAAATGCAACTTTTCAACAAACGACGATGATTAAATAATGTCATCTTCTGCTGTTGCTACTACAGCCATCGTCTCCGTCGCCGCCAGTGAGAAAAGAAGAAAGCAGACAGCTATGGGGACGAACGAACGACAAGATACACCAAACAAGATTCTAGATCAACCTTAGCGGAAGGCAGTGTCGCATCGTGGTTCTAATAGATAGCCAGTGGAAGTGAGCCCGCTAACTAGCAAACAGGCCAAAATTCAACAAAGGATCCGCTTCTAGCTAGCAGAGTAAAGAAAACATCTCACAACCGATATCTCACACCACTCCCATCATACTGCAGAATCACTGGTATCACACCACAGATAGATAATTCTATCACGATGCAAACTGTGACACCACATCCAGTTATCAGTCCGCTTTTGCAGCCATCCACACAGATGCTGTAGAAGTTTTCCATAAAGAAGTCCTTCAATCCAAATTGGCTTTTGTCCTCGGGGTGAGTTAGGTAATTATTGCTGACGTCGCCACTACTATTATTTTATATAATAACAGGCTGCCAGTTCTCATAAGTTAGCTTGTCTACAAAGAAACTAGCTGATGTTTACGCTCGATGAGGATTCAGGCCACCCCCATGACAGCCGACCCATTAAGTACTGTAGAGTCTTTTATATATATATATACAATTTGATGTAGAAACTGGCCTACCTCGACAGATGTGCGCCAAAACATGTTACTTTTATGTTTACGTGGGTACAGTACAACGTGATTCGTTGTGTTCTTCCGCTAACAGAATGTGTGTGACCGCTTATTTTTGCCGGCCACCTGCACAGACCTGTCGCACTGTTGTAACTTAGATGAACATCGAACCGTTTAGCTTTAGCTAAGCACGTACGTTGACTACATCAAACTCTTACTGTCCCCAACCTCAGTCGTAGGCAGTGCCGTCAACATCGCTGATTCAATCCCCATTTTTTCAGCAAACTGAAGAGGTACTGAAGGCCCTTCTTATCAATGTGCGAAAAAAATCCATTACACTATCCATGCCGACAACACGCTCACGCTAAATTCACCGACCACACAGTGAAGTTCAAAAACAAAAAAACGGAAAAAAAGCGAAAGAGGCGCCATGTTCCTTTGCTCAAACGTTTTACTGGCGTTGGCGATGTAGCGCCAGCGCTTCATGAGCGCTCACAAGTGCCATCGATCGACAGCTTCAATACAACTCTATCAGTAGTACCATTGATATCACAATACTCAAACTAATTATTCATAATAGAATGCATAAAGTACAGGCGGCAGTTCACGAGTCCGAGAGTTCCCATAGCAAATAAATTCAAGAGATACATATAGTAGCGTCCTCCGTGTTAAAGACCAATATATATGTATATACATCTATATAAAGACACCACTGCACCACTCATCATGATGAACTCGCATCTCCCATTGTTGGCGCCGCCACCTCTTCGCATCGTTTAACGTTTTACCGATAGACATCGTTAATATGATGCACGCTATTAAGGCGCTCAATGTGTCTAGCTACGGAAATCGATGCTAGTTCGATGGCAACCAAGACTGCCGGCGTAATAGTGTATGACCCCGCTATAGAACAATTCTTATCAATGAGAATTACTACAGATTATTATGTGGTTCACCATTCGTTCACGGGTTAATATAGCCTGATATACTGGTGACAGGCAGGCCGGGGGTAGGCGATGACTGGGCTACATTCCGAGACCGGGTTATGAAGTTCTGCTGCGGCAACTGGGCATCCCATGCCCATCCTCCACTGATAAAGCAAGGTGATCACGACCTGCCCAATGCGCGAAGTTGCTTCGATACCGGAGTAATGTTGATAGCCGCTGTCATTTTCATTATGAAGTGCGGCCGCCGATGGCGCTCATGTGCCATTGGGTCTTTGTCCCTTCTTCCCTAGACCATTTTCTAGTACCTTCTCATACAATTTCTCTGACTGTCCTTATAAAGAAGAAATTATTTACTTGCATAGTTCTGTTTTACGTATTATCGATAACGAAGACGCTCGTTTTTGCCCAACGTTTCGATAGTCACCAGCTGGAGTAAGTGACAGATAATAACGTGTATTGGTAAAATTTTTTGGTTCATGTGAAGACTTTCTTTTTTCCGCAAATCCATTACGCTAGAAATACGCCAGTAGCAATTATCTTCACGTATACTTCGCAGAGTCATCGTCTACAACCATATAAGCACATAGCGCGAGAAACTTCTTTTCTACACATAAGTTCTCTGATGGTGAGATATAGATAAAGCTGAATTAAAAAAAAAACATACGGATACTTCGTCCTTATTACTACCATACAGTAACTACATACAAGTTTATTGGGCTTGATAGACGATGCGTAAGATTGAAACAACAACAATCTAAGAACAGGAACTTGTAGCAGAAGTGAACCAGTGGCCGGAAGTCACCGGCCATATCGGAGGGAAGAGGCATGCCTATTCGACATTGAGAGAGAGAGAGAGACGGTAAAATGGACGGCCAGAAACATATTTCCAATGGCGTTTGATGCCCCAAGGAGCATTTGGCATTTTACCACGCACCTACAGGCCATAAAGGGCGGCCTCAATTCTTATCAATGTGTCCAATTCATTGCAAATGCCACCTCTATTTTTATGATTTTTGACTACTCGTCAATCGTATCTTAGGAGCGACACAGCCCCGTAGCATCGTTGCTGCTGGCTTTAGCACCATGCGAAAATGTTATAATACTTGACAAATAGAATAAGTCAAGCGAATTTGTCTAACTAATACGCAGAGTAATTCCTTTTTACTCGGGCGTGAGCCAATTTCCAACACATTCATTATACACTAGACCTATAAAAACCTAACCAATCTATATTCTACGAATGCGAAGTTCTAGAAGACGCAGGCCACAATGCCTCCTTTCGAGACACAAACCAGCCGACCTATTATCCAGACCTGTCCAAAACAGTAATGAATTGTACTAATGATAAACACAGATCGACGTCAGACGTCTATCGTTCCGTATAACTGCTACTATCGCAATGCAATTGTAATTGTGACTATGTCTATATATAGTCACTTCTACAAACAGATCTCAGCGCACCCTTTACAACCTTCACTCACTCTGTTTTACTAATAATGAATCGAAACGTGAGATATCCATCCATTCCATTTTTATCTAGGCTTCAGCATAACACAATACTCGAGTATGTTACAGGTCTGATCGTGCAACATGAACTTACCTGGTGTGGCGTGCTGAAACCCCGTATGTACGACGGCACTATTACACCGAGCTTCTCTAGTGAATTTTCATGTAATATTTATATTATAGTAAGATATTTATATCTTGTTAGCTTTTTTTACCATTCCAGCTTCGACAACATCAGAATAGAATAAATCATAGAGAAACGAAATTGAAATTGACTGTATCCAGGCTCGTTTCCGCTTGCCTGACTGACAACGATATAAATCTTATCACGTATGGGATATTTCTACCCTGAAAGCGATGTTGTCTACGGCTGACTGTGACTATTATTGTACAATAAAGGACCAGAAATAATTACCTCCACCTTAAACTATATAACTCAATAGCACTTACAACAATATAAATAGGATATATTTAGCTAACATGCTCTGAATTTACCGTGGTAACACGACTTATTAATAACAACGCCAAGGATAGCAATAAACATTAGGCCTGTTATCCAGTGAGTGATAAATGATCTATTTACTCCGCAGTGCAGAAGGTGCAAATCAGTGGGGGCAAAACAGGGTGAAATGTGGTAATTCGTCCTAGCGATCAGTCGAATAGAGATCTTCCTAATGGAAAGTGTACGGACGTTGTCAGAAGCAGGGCGACTTACAAAATCGTGTACGCCCTTAGGTAGCAGTGATTGTGATGTAAAAATACGACAAAAATTAGGTTTTTCCCTTTTAGCGTAAAATTTCCGGAGGGCAATTGATGTTTCCCGTCGCTCGATTGTAATTTAGAATATTGTCTAAAACCTTATACTATAATAGAGTAAATGAAAAAGCAGACCGAACTGCATGAATTTTGGTCACTGAGTAGAGTATTCGTAATGAGTGAGCACTGCCTATCGAGGTCCTTCTCTCAGGCGTTCGCGATGCTTTACCTATTACGAAACGACTCACCGGCACGTACTGTTTGCCTAAGAACGATATACCTTATTCTATACATGAGAGCATATATTCCACGCGCTTCATGCGGATGGTTGTGAGCGTGTCAAAAATTTACGCTGCTTCCGGCAGTGTATCCGCCATTGTTTAATAGCCGTCATCGAAATAATAATGCAAATAGATAAATCTATAATGGTTAATTACGACTGAAGCAACGTGTATCCTTAAGGAGAAAAATTCATACTCACTGAGATCGATTCTATTGGATGTCGTAGGAAATGCCACACCTAACAAAAAAGCCATTTAAATGAAGGTCTTGGGAGATTCAGCTGAATTAAACGACTGCTGATTGAGCGACTGATTCACTGGGTAATCGAGAACGAAACATAGAGTATCTGCGTGTTTTTGTGCGTGTCTGTCTATGTACTATAATATGTGCATGCTCCCTGTATACTTGTATTGGACGTCCGTCGTTCACGTGTGCTTTACGTGTCGTTCGTCAGTTATGAGCTGCGTCAGCATATAGATATATTCGTGTCGTCGTCAAGAACAGTTCAACCGAACCGCCGAAGTGTTACCTATTTACAATATAAGAGACAACACCGAATGCAATAGTACTACCAATTCTTACCGATGCAAGCGTCCGCTGCGTTGCTGCAAAGTAGAAGTTGACAGCATCGAAACAATAAGTTACCAATTACCGTTTGGTTTTATATGCCAACGATAGTTTGCGAAGATGGATGGCAATTTTTGTAGACAAACAAGTGAAACGGGACCGACATCAAAGGCAAAAAACCACCCCTAATAATATCAAGGTATACCATGGCGTAAAAGGATTATACGCCTAACGGATTTCGTATCAACTTATCTATTGCATTGTTACAGCTGCCTATCGCCGGCTGCACGTTGACGCACGACCATGATCAGGTTATCTTGCGGATGAGTAAGGCTTTCCTATACTATGAATTGGACTACCGACTATCATAGACATAGAGTAAACGAAGGTATATTGGATTACGGTATTTTTTTTTTGTCAAACTATGTACACAAGGATTCATGACGTGTCGCTCACAGTAGCGACAATGGTAAATCGTCGCTCGTTCGAATTAAAGAAAATGATTAAGCGTCACCAAATCATGATCCATGCAATCGAGACGCGGTCAAAATGCAAAAGTGGTGAATATACATGCAATACTAATAATAATTCCTATATATATATATATATATATATGGTTAAGAGATGGTCATGTGATGAGGACAAAAGGCCTTTGTCTAAAGCGTGACGTTTGAGAGCAACAAACGCTAGATGAAATGAACGAATTCCGCCGAATGAGGCACGAAAAGAAGAGAGGGCCGAGAGCAGAAGAGAATGTGGTATCACATAAGGCGATAGTCACGAGGAAATCGTTATGTTAACATTGTTGACGAGGATCTACGAGCGACGGACGACATTATTAGAGGGACGCCGATGATGCTGATGATACTATGTATTAAAAAACACACAAACTGTATGTTAATTACACCGACGACATCAATGAAGAAGAAGAAAATTCTGTGGAAAATGACAATAATATAAACCATGACTAAGTTAAAAATACTGCCTTGGGTTTTATCATTACAGAGTATATAGTTTAGTTAGGAGAGGTCCTCTCTGCACATTTTCAAGGAAACCGCGCGGTGCGGCGTTTCGAAAAGAAGAAAACTTTGTGAAGTAGGACATTCTCTGCTAAATTCAGTTTCTTTCTCAGTACAATCCTTTAGATGTCTGTTTTGCTATAGAAGGCAGGCGTTGCATGTATGGAGTTAAATATTCGAAGGGTAGTTGAAGACCAGACTCGGGATTCCGACTGCAAGCGTATGTGGGATTCAAATCGATTTTAAAAATACACCACATAGTCAAACGTAAATATCATACACCGTAAAATAACAGGGATACCAAACCGTGGAGCGGTCGCTTATATTCGATGTATTAGGTAGTTCACCAACTTTTTAGCATAGCACCACCGAGCAATAGCATACATTTATACGGGGCGGCCTTTTTCCTTTCTCTAGTCCTAGGAAGTCGTGTTTGGGAGCTTAAACAGTGTGGGTATGTGATCGCGGAATCGCTTTCAAGAAAAGGTACAGCGTGTGACCTTTAGCTAGCACGTAATGATAATCATTGAGGAAGATCGAAGTTACGTTTCATTGCTGGCTCTAGCAAAGATAGACGCGTGTGTTTGTGTGCCTTTATCATAACTGGAACTTTTTTTTTTTCATACTTAAACGTTCACATAAAGAAGATGCGGTGATTGACAGGATGTTTCTACTACTACTACCTGATGTTTGTCTTCCTGGGAATATTATCGTAAAAAGAGTAGCTTTATTTTCTACGATAGCTATTTTTTACCTCACATCTTTTTCCGACCCATTTATTTCATTGTCAATAGTTGACACTGGCGATAAGGGGAAAGCTCAGTGTTGCCTGTCAGTAAACCGCGCGTACTCCAGTCTCGGACATGAGGATATCAAGCTCGCTCCAACCAATTGCCAAAAGGAAGCCAGGCATATTTACGTGGCTGATTTATTGAATAAGTTCTGTGTAATCTAAAGATCCACTACGCACATCAATGCGGCTGTTGCATGTTGCAATAAAATGTAACAATTTAAAGAATCATTTTAACAAGGCTCTAAATAAAGTAGATTCGCGAAGATGAGTTAAGGTCTGTTCTATTCGAATCAAAGATTTCTATGTTAAAGCACTAATAGCTAGCACCATTCGGCCGCCTGTAAAGGTACAGGTTGTTACCTAGGCAGACCGAGCTCTTTACCGCGTTTTAGCAAATCTAAATAAGAAAAACCTTCTATATTCCGCTTAGTAAACTGTTCGAAATGCGCTCGAGAGACACCTTTTTTTCGTGAGCACAAACTCGACACGCAAAAATAGCGATAGAAAAATAACACAAACATGGCGATCATACTCTTCCAGTGCTTCGCTTGTTAATGTTTTTCTATTTATGTATATAGTCGAAGATATGTTTACATTTTACGCCAGTTGCCCATGGCTCCATTGAAACTGTTTAAAAATTGTTTATCTTTATCAGGAAGTCAACACCCGAATAGCGAAAAAACTAAACCGGTATTCTAAAAGCATAGAATCTCGATAACCAATTCTGCAGCGCTACTCGCATGTACGTTAGCTTAAGACTTAAATTAAAGTCAAACGTGAAAACGATCAGACACAGCAGACAAATCGTTATACGGTAATGTTTTTTGATGCTCTTAAGCACAGTGCTCTGCTGGTGCACGACCATCCGCCTGAGATGTGATGAAGTACAGAGCGCGAGTTGAATTTTATCCAGTTCAATACAATTAAATCTACCTAACATAATTGTTTGTCTCATTTGATAGTGTACCTATCTATGCAGAGAGGTTAGCCTCGGCTACTGGCCGTAACAAGATCCGTGTCGAAATAGACCGACACCCCCTAGCAATCGCCGATATAACCAGTTTCGATTCGGGATTTACAACACTAATTAGCTAGAAAGTTACAAAATATTATTTTCTAGTTCGTAAATAACTTTTACTGAACCGTGACCGTGCGTCACGAAATTAGTAACGTGAACGAACCATAAGCAGTTTCGCTTAAGCGTAAGCTCGAAAACTTACGTTGATAGGGAGCAAAACAATTAGAGGGCTAAAAAGAGGAGCTTATTTGGACAATTCAAGAATTAATCTACCCCTTTCTAAGGCGGTCATTAACTTTTGTTTTGGGAAATTGTTTTTCAACTTCTCGAACCCAAACCTATTGAGGAATTTTCCCCTTTACTCCTCTTCGAATTTCTCGAAAGTCGCATGAAATTCGGCAACAGCGCAGATCGCTGATTTTGGGCGAAAGGATAAGTTGTTAATCTTGTTGGGGTTCGTCCAGCGCAAAGGAATTGAGTAATAATAGCTGGGTCTTTGCTTGAATTCCGAACTAATCCATTTGTGTTCTAGAAAGAACAGGTTTTCGTCTGCTATAAAAATGTAACATATATATGTATGTATATAGTATAATATATATATAAGGTAATGTATATATATATATATATATATATAGAACGGTACATTCAAATTAGGAAAACTTTAGCAGGCTGTTCGAGATAGCGGGCATGCTTGACTACATTACTCCTGGTAGCAGACGACAGCCAGTTCTTTCTAGAACAAATATGCAAACGCAGCGTTACGAGAAGCAGTGAATTATTTCGCCATGAGCTACACACAGATGAGTACGATCAGATACGTTTTCTCACCTCATCCTTATCTGATTTACGTCACAGTGTACGTCAAAATTTATTTCGTTTTACCGTTCCGTCGTTTCATTACTTTTTCCCAAATTACACGTGAGTGTTTATCATGATTGAAATATTCCAGCCGATTATCTTATGTAAGTTATTCTCTAAGTAACTGCCTGGAATCAGCCTAAAGCAAAAATAAACGAATAGAAGTCCACATCATTCACTTACAAACTTATTGAAATACAATTGAATTGAAACGCATCTGTATTAACATAAACGACATGTATACATTACAGGGAAAATTCTCACATAAAAATACAGCTATTTACGTTTACGTATCACATATGAAATTTGAAGAGGGATCGTGCTCATAGATCCACCTCCCCGTGCGTCATACATGTATGTAAACATACGTTTAATTCTTTTTACATGTTTATGGTGCCGAAAATATTATATATTCTTATGTTACTTAATAGTGCTCATTTAGCCAAGAATTTAGATATTTATAACATGATTTTAAGCTTTCAAATGCTTTTAGTGCAAGTTTCGCTGTGAAATACTTCGTTAGTTTTTAAATAATTTATTAAGTCGTCGAGTAGCTTATTGTTGGGAGAAAGAAATGCCTTCGATAACAACAGGTCCTTTTTTTTCTTAATTGTAGCTTAACCCTTTCCGGTACCTATGGCAGGCTGTAAAAATGTATTACAATATGCATTTTTTAACTGGTCAAAATATTTTTCATGGTATATTCTTATCCAGTGCACTAAACCTATTTGAGTAGGGGACGTTAGCGGAAAGATTGCCGCTAATCAACGTTGTACGGCTGGCGTAGTACAAAGCGATATATGAGGACCAAGAATCTCGTCAAGGCTCACACAGATAGAGAAGTAGATATATACACACAGGGTCACACAGCTGCAAGCTTGTACATAGGCTCTCACAGACGTGTTTAGCAAAGTCCTGCTGACCAACGAGAGCTCACAACTACAGTTGTTGTAGACATGACCGTCATTGCTTCGTCGGGTTTTTCTATTGTCTGAGTCAGTCGACCGATCTGATCTCTGTGCCGACAAAACAGGCGCTACTTTATCATGATACAGACTAGTTCTAGCTGATACAGTGTCGTAGATTTGTCCACTGCCACCAATATCGCAGCGTCTCTAGACTAGTCGCTGCCGCCGCCACCCATCTCTCGACCCAATCGAATCGAAATCACTATACGATACGCTTGTCGATAGACCCACAAGCATTGCCTTGCTTAATTGTCTATCACACATTATATCTGTCTGTGCTCATTGTCCAAAGTTTGAAAACGCTTGCCTCGTTTAGCGTGTACGAACTTGGCCATTTTCGCTAGCTAGCTTGACAACCCGGGTATGTTTAGACCGGCTCCCTGCCATGCCGTTTGTCATCGCGTCCGGTGGCACGATAATCGCGGGTCCCATATTACCTGCATAGCTAAGCGAACGTGGGGTACACCATAACTGCCACTGTCATTTTTAACTGTGATTATTGCTTGTGGCCAGCTGCGTGTGGCCTACTGGCATGGATTTCATCTGAAATACGATAGAATACCAGGACAATAAAGTTTTGTTGGCGATGTACTCTTTTGACTGGCAGTCGTCTTTTCTGGCATGCTGTTTCGTCCTCGCTCTTTCCACAGTTATGTCCCGTGTATTATCTCATATACTACTACGCTGTTTTTTTAGGCAAGAGTGTGTGTGTTGCTTTTGTCTAACTGCTGTTTATAGCCGCCGCCGAAGATCCTTTGAAAGCAGATACGTAACGTCAAAGCCATCCTGCCAAGCCACACAAACAGGGCTGGAAGGACAAAGCTAACAGAAAGGTGAGCCAGTGAGTAAGCGAATAAACCCGTGTTGTTTTTACCTTGCCAGATGGGCACACCTGTGTAAAACGAATATACAAATAAGAGCTCTCTCATTCAGCTCTGCCGCTAATGATAATTATGGCTATTGATTTTCCATCGCGGATAACTCTGCCCGTTGATATAGCGTAAAGAATATACCACGTGTCGGCTTCTAGTGAAAATGTCAGTTGTTGATCCCAAGTCTCTTTGCCTCGCTTGAGTAGTGCGAATATCGCTGCTGGTACTTCCAATAACATGCTGGTGATGGGAACAAAAGCGTTCTGGTTATCGCTGTTTTGTTGTCTTGTCTTGAGCGCCGCACCGTGTACGCCTGCGATTCCTCTCTCCTCAATGGCGGCCTTTAACGGCCGTCTCTATCAGCTGATTGAATAAGAGCAATTTGATTAGCTGCTGTGTAATAAGGTAGCGTAGCTTGCGCAGCGGCTGGTAACACGGGAGTCTCGTGCGCGTAGTAGTGGCGCGATGACGTGGTATTTGTAGCGCTGAATCAAGAAAGCATTGACTCGGCCGTTGTCGCTTGCCGGCTTCTTCCAATCTCCGAAGTCCAATCGCCGGCGACTCAGGACAGTGTAGTATTCTTCGTGGGAGAGTGTGTGACTCCCTATATTGCCCAGGCTGTGTCTGGTTTCGGCTGGCATTGAGTCTAGACAGTAAGCACGGCTAGTAACCAGCGACCAGTACAGCTCCGACGGCATTTCGTAGTTTTGGATCCTTTTGACTTCTCTATCAGCCATACGCCAGCGCGTCTCCAAACACGGCGTTGTTTGTTGTCAATATGTGTGTGTATCCCTGTCTGCAGCGCCGTTGACTAGACAATAATGCTGCTCTGCCTGGAGCTTGCCGTAGCGGGTGTACATCTTCCATGCATTCGTCTGTGCATGCCGCTTACCCTCCCCAGCCTTTGTAGCCGATGTCAGACCTCCCTTTGACTGGCTGAGTAACCGGATCTCTCCCCGGGTCCCCCTCGCGCTCCTTTGTTGACTTCGGCGGCAGGCAGTACCGCGTCAAAGCCAGCTGCCGACCGACCGACCAGCTAGCCAGCCTGCGCACCCTACCGTCCGTTCTCTCAGTAGCTAACCCAGTGTTAGTCATCGTCGAAACGGTGGCAGCAGCCGCAAAAACAGTCAGAGTCACCATCGCCGTAGACCGTGTCGTGAACGCAGCCGGCCCCCTTCCAGTGAGCCGCAGGTCGGCCCTGCCTCTGACTACTCGGGACCAATTGGAGTACAGCAGCCGCTCTTTGTACGCAGTACACCGAGCCGAATGCCCCAGAACGATGTACAGTGGAACTGCCCATGCGAAGACGTTTGCTTTCGTGTGTGAAGCAAGATACAAATGAGCGGAGCTCGTTTGAACGAACAACGAACGTTTTTGCTTTGAAAGGTGCGCAGATCAAAACACAGGCTTACAGTTTGATGGAGATGCTTCCGGCGTGGGGGTGAGTGGTGTGGCGCAGTGCAGTGCACAGTGTACAGGTACAACAACCACCGTCCCTAGCTTCTCTTTACAGGCCGGTTGCAATATAACCCGGTCCCAGATAAGTTGACCCGGTTCCCAGAGAGTCATCGTCATAACCTTTCAAAACATCTGCACAGGCGATCGAACCATCAGCAGTATGCCCGAAGAAAATTCGACGGAAGACTTTGGAGCCCGGTTGGAGACGCTTCTGGCCAACTTCCAACTGGATCGAAGCCGGTCCCTGAGTGCTCGATGCCGGAAATTTGCTGTCGACGGCCAGGTTGTTGGATTAATTCGCAATTCCGACTGGGAATTGATGCGGAAGCATACCGAAGGTGTTTTCGTTGAGGAAACCGACATCATTTCACTTAATCCCGAATGGAAGACGTGCGAGGAACGGACACTGCAGATGGCTGCGGCGCTTCAAAAGCTCAGAGAGGAAAATTTGTTTCCAACACTGAAGGGCTGGCGCAACGAAACCTATGATATCGCCGCAAAGTTCGGCGATGCCACGCTCATGCGAATGGAACGTTCCGCGACCTGCCTCTTTGGAACCAAACGCTACGGGGTGCACATCACTGGCTACGTCGAGGACGAAGATGGACGCGTGGAGAGTGTCTGGTTCCAGAAGAGGAGTCCAACAAAGGAGACGTGGCCAAACAAAATTGATATAATGGTAAGTGGTGGACTAAGTTCTGGCAACTCTGTAACCGACTGTCTCATACGAGAAGCCGAAGAGGAAGCTTCGATGTCTGAGGAACTTGTGCGCCGACTGGCTCGTCCCGTCGGTTTTGTGTCATTTATATACGAGGACGAACGAGGCATTTTTCCTGAGACAATTTTTTGCTTCGATGCACGCCTGCCAAGAGACTTTGTCCCAAGAGCGTCCGACTGCGAGGTGCAGTCGTTCCATTGCGTCCCCGTCGAGGACGTCGCCAATCTTGTGGTTAATAGCGACGTATTTAAACTGACCTCGGCACCAATCGCCCTAGACTTTCTCGTTCGACATTCCATCCTGCACCCGGACTCACTACCGCAGTATGGCGCGCTTCTCGATGCTATCCATCTGGCTTTGCACAACTCTTATCCAGAAAACGTAATTTCGACGGACAACGGACATTGCATATGACGAAGTAGGTGGGTTCTCGAAGAGGACCAATAGCCTAGAACTTGTACATCATTCATTGAGAGATCACCGAAGAGCCCCAGTTGAAACGGTTACTTGGTTGATCAATATATTATTATTATTGCTACTGTTTGTATAGCTACTCATAAACATAGTCATTAGAGATAAAAAAAACACAGTATCAACAAGAAGAAAACAAAAGTACGTAATTAAAGGATATCATAACTCGAGTGAAGTAGTGGTTCATGCGAAACGACAGAAAAATATTTATAAGTAACGCCACTTAATAACATGTACGAGCATGTACAAACGCTTAGTAACTGCATTATTATTACAAACTATATTAGCTATTTTTTAAATAGACCACAGAGTCATACAAGGGCATTGTCATATAAGCCCAACTGCTTGGTGCAGCTGTCGATCTATGAGGTTATGTACGGCATAGTTCAACATTGTATGAAAGGAAGTATTCGAGTAGCTAACAGCTTAGTAACACCCACTGCTTTGTATATACGGCTGATACTATTTACGTCGCAAAGAAGTTGCCCCAACGCCTCAGTTCTTAGTAAAACTGCTTCTGAAAAACTAATATCAAACACACAAAAAATAATAGTATATAAGTAAAATAGTAGAAAAAATACAGCAACTGAAGTGTGGAGGACGGTGAGTGTTATTCATGGAGTACGAATATTGTAACGCAATAAATCTACACACACACACACACATATATATATATATATATATATATATATATATATATATATGGAGACATAAATAAAGCATATGTACGAGAGCTACAAGAAAGAGCTCAGAAAAAAGAAGCGCATACTTCGCAGAAATGTACGGCGTTTTCATTTAATTATTATATAAAAACAAGGCTACTACTTTTCAATTACCCTTATTTTAAGCTAGCGTGTAAAACGTACACCTTAACTTTTAAGACGACTGTAAACACGCACGTATATATATATATATATATATATATATATACACGTGCGTGTGTATATATTGCCGGCAGATAAAAAAGCAGCTTCCGTAGCATGTTATTCACAGACATATAAAATTGATTCGGAGATGATTTTCAATAATTTTGGACCAGTTGCGGTCTAAATCTGTTGACTGATTCAAAAACGTGTAGAATCAAAAGTTGTCACAAAAAAAAATGACCGATTTCAGTAGTGTGTTTTAAATTTTTAGAAAATTGGAATAATTTCAAAATTATTCTATATTATGCTATAGGGTTCATCGATCTGTTAATTGCTTTTGCTATATTGAGTCAGAAAGTTTCTATATAGATTTATTACAAAGATGGCTTTGAAAAAAACTAAATACTTCTTCAAAAAATACAAAACGTGTAATATTTACTTAAGAAGAATATATAACGATAAATTATTCTGTTCCCGGTCACATTCGAGTTGCTGTTGTTCTACGTAGACGAATGAATTTAGCTTCAAGCACACTGAGGATGAAACCTCTGCGAAAGATGATTCTTTTGGCTCGATTGAGGTCTAAAATAACATCAAGAAACCAATGATTTCGTACAGTTAGTACTATATTGTCACAGCCGTTCTTGTAACGTAATCCAAAATGGTCTCCATTATGTTACTAGCATTAGTGCCAACTGAGGGATATCAGAGCTGATATGTTTTAGCCATTGTAAACAGAACGCGTTCGTAAGAAGAACGCGGCTAGGTTCTAGTTCGGTTAATTTTGGGAGAAATCCAAGGCAGGCCGCGTACGAAAGGCTGACTAATTCAAAGGAATAAATGCTCGTGTTCTAAATTAGGTTTCAATACGTCACTGTGCTAGAAATACTATTTGTTGCTATCTAGCTTCAATGGCAGCTGGCTCAAAAAAAAAACGTAAGTGTTCCATAAGATATAAATAGTACGAAATGAATCTAGTAGATATGCGCTGTTATCAGGAATGGATTTCATTTGATCTACTTTCGAAGCAGCGATGCGTCTTAGGTGGCTAAAGCATAGTTTAATCGCTTATGTTATGTATAGAAATCGTAGCCTATTGCGTAAGGCCAGGTCATAAGAGGCAGCCAACAAGCCACTGTGATATTTCGATAAATCATCGGGTCTATCTCTAGTACCACTCTAGCGCCTCACGATGATTCGTACTGGTACCTGCCATTGTTGAAAAACATCTATGGCTTTACCGTTAGCATCTACCGTAATGGCTATTTCTATTTATTGATCTCATGATCCTTTCTATGAAATTCAGGAGAGCTCAAAGGACGCTGCTACACCGTTTCACCGATCGTTATTCCCTTAGACAAGGATTGGCGACGACAACGTTGCGGCGATACGAATGCAGGATAGCAACGTACAGGACTAACTATGATGACGATAGAACACTCTTCGAAATCAGAGAGAGCCGCCGTCGTCGTCTAACTAGAAAACTTAAGTTCAACATCGTGATTAGGACGTTGTTTATATCTGCCGACTGAAAATGGGCATGACATTTAGTCCAGTGATCGTATTTTATGAATACAATTCTCTTCTCTCCCGGATTTATTCTCACAAATGTTTAAACTATTCAACCTAAGTCACATAGTAATCAATTAATGGCATTAAGTTAGTTTTATAAGCAAGTTACTTGAATAAGCTATAAGGTTATTTTAAGGCCAGGTATGAGCAACGTCAGCCCAGCTGTCTTCGTTGATGGCCCGCAGTTTTTAATCACAGTGATTTCTTAATTGCCGCCGCCGCCTTCTACGAGGGCGTAATAATACATGACTAATTTTACATTAGTCTTACAAAATTCCTTTACAAAATTACATTTTTCAATTTTCGGGCCAGTTTCTGGTCATTGTTGCAACAGTGAAAAACGTGATACAATATAGTCCCAGAACATTAACCTTTGTTGTCGTTAAACGGCTTCAGGGCTACACAACCCAGGTAATCCAAGTCACATTGGGTCGGCGTTAACGAAAGCTGCGACTCGCTACTAGTCTATGCGTCTAAATGGCTGCGTTCAACTTTGAAATAGAACGCGCTGAAAATGAGTGAAATTTATATGAAAATGCAGCGTACTTTACGACTTTATCATGATCAAGGCTGCCCAGGCCCATAAAAGAACTCGTGCTGTTCACATCCTAGACGCGCTATTGGAAGAAACGGCCCAATGAAACGACTCTGTTACTTTCGTTCCGGAAATTTCAATGTGAAAAGTGTTTCTCGTAGTAGCTGATCAAAATCACGGAAAATATCTATGAAACCATTTTGAAAGTTGACTAGAGCCAACATATAAATAGTCTTGATCCCTTCAAGGTGTCAAACGTTCACCAACGAACGTATCGAAATAGGAACTGAAGAAGCTGGCAACAAACAACTGTTCACTGTTTGGATACCACATGAACTGACGCAACTGGGAATTGAGTCATACTTCTATATGCAGACAAACCACAGAAAGATAGCAAAATTGAGCCACTTTCAAAGCGTTCGGTCACGGGCCATGGAAAATAAATCGCATTTAAAAAGTTAAGAAAGAGATACAAAATGTTCGTCGTAATCTCTGGCTAAACGGCGATCCGATGCGTGTTCGGTAAGGCTAAGAAGGATTTCTGCATTATGAGCTACTGCTGCTGCTGCTACCGCTGCCGCCGCCTAGCAAGACGATTGACGACAACTTAATGTATCGTTTTAGAGCTATTTCCAGGTCCTACATAGGTATAACAAAAATATCCACGATATTAGCCGACGACCTGGCCCAAGTAATTTCTCGAAGTGATCATTTGTTCAAACATTTATTCACTCAGGCTGTATGAGATAAACCCAAACTATGTGATATTACTTATTAGTGATGAGCTTCTTTCATGTATTGAATCGTGGAAATTAAGTTACTTACCACTGATATCAACTTGTACGTCTTATTGGGGAGAGTCACCTATCGATTTTACACAAAGAAACTTGGAAATTTGAGGGAACACTTTTTGTTCAGCAACATTACACAAGCCCTTGTCACAATCCCATGTGGAATTTATTATAAATACATGTCCCTGATGTGTCATTCACTGTATACTGGAAACAAAGCGGCATTAAAAGCTTATGCTTTCCTACTGATCGTAGTCCGTTTTGAAGGTACGATGTAAATAGCGACATTTTGATTTCATTGTGACCTACCGCTCTGAGCTCAGACCACAACACAAATCTGTTAGCAATAGCAGACAAAAAAGTTTGACTCTACGAGAATTGGCACCTTTTAGGGACTCTCAAGAAGCTTCTAGAAACATGTCATCAATCTTAGGCCTGATGCTATTCGAGGATGACATAGACGATACATACTTAATTACTTAACTCTGCAGCGAATCCAATTAAAGTTGAACCAATTGAAGTTACTTGAGCGGGGTTAATAAGAATACAAAATATATACATACAAACAACAGTATATGCCTATTTCTCTGGAATGGAATGCATGAATTCGAGTATGACCCTTACTAAGCATCCAAGGGAACCTATGCTTTGGTCGGCTGACTGAACTTTATCCTTATATTTATTATTTAATCCTTTATTTACATAGATACAAAAGCAATATTTTGTTTACTCTAGATAGAATATAACGTTTGGGAGAAAAATTGCATAGTGGAAAGATGTGCGAAGAAGTAAAGTTATCCTTGTATTTATTATGTTAGAATCCTCTTAGGCTTATTCAGCGTAGACACTTTGGTAACTCTACGAGACAAAATATAGAGAAACTATAATCTCTTTTAGGGTAATGTTCTGTAATCGTAATTGCAGTATTTACGAACTGGTTTTCTATTCTAGATATCTTGCCTAATCAAACCAAACGCAAGTTATATTTGCATTACTTTACAGGACCTGCACATCTAGATCTACTCCTTAGAGACATAGTATTTTTTAATAACTGCTCAGAGTTAACTTACGAATTATATGCAGACTCAGAAAGATGTGCGTGTGTATTTAGTAATGTAAAAAGCTTATTTGTTACATAATGATATCATTTTGAGGACGTAAAGTGTTGATTTGTCTGTAAAATGGCCAAAATTCTCACCCTGATAGCTCATATTTCCTTTGAATTTGCAAGGTGGCTAGTCAGTATCTAATGTGGGTTTTCATCCACGCTTATTTGGTTCAGGTGAAGCGCCTGGTGAAGAACAACTCTGAAACGTGCATACCTTTCTTCATATGTTAAGCCTGTTTTTTCAAGGTTCGGCCTATTTTCAGTTGCTTGGTATAAGGTATCGTAGAGGTTACTACGGTTAAATGATGAACGAGATAAAGTTTCAAAAAATGCCGCCAAAAGCTAGCAAATTCAACAAAGTGGTTTCGAAATTTAAGGATTTTGTCAATGAAACGTAGAAAGTAGCATTTTTTCGTCTTTGCAGTACCACTATTTCTTCTTAGTAGTGATTCTTTGTACTGGCGTTAGTTTTTTGAACACTTTCAAAGGCGTACGTAGTTCCTTATGGGGCCACTGAATTTATTAAACAATCCCAGAAAAGTACGGCCTGTGGATCAGGGTGACTCATCTGATTCTAGTTGAAGCAGTTCGCTACTTCGTTTCTCTTTATTCTAGTCTATTCTTGTGTCTGAGTGTGCCAGGTCGGTAGATTGCGACCACCGGCATTGCTTTTTACCCACCCTCACACAACGGGATGATTTTTCCGCACAGAAATATTCGAATTTAGGCAATTTATCAAAGGTTGCCTTAAAATCGTTGTCGTCATTCAATAGTCAAAGTGATCCCGTAGACTATTACGCCTTTGCTACAGATATAGTTCGATCTTTGTCCGACTAACGGATATATAAAGTTAATGAGCATTTATTTAATATTTTATGTATCATATTTGATATTATTTGCTATAAATTAGATTATATTTGCTAGACTTATTTCCTACTGAAAACTGAACGTTTTAAAAAAAGTAAAAAAACACTTAATTTTTCTCGGTTATAAAACCCGCATTTAGCGTTTATTATTTTTTAGTCGTTAGCCCATCTCTTTCGCAGATCCGATAAACAGGCATGTCATTTATTTAGCTTGTCCCTTATGTGGGCTAATAAATATGCCATTATATCGTACGAGCAGGTAAGTCATAACCAAGTGTGGTACCTGCAACGTCTAGGCAATATGACTCATAGAAATAAAACACTGGACATATAAACCGTTGGCAATAACAAATACTTTTAGTATATACAGAGCAAATAATGTTTCCGTCGACGTGGGTTTTGACCATTTCAAGAACTAAATTCCATTAATTTATCGTATGTAATTCATTACTAAAGGTTTTTATCAAGAAGAGCAAATTAACATCGTTAAACCGTAACAAGCTTCCCCATGTTCGTCGCGATAGACCGTGGCGCGTATGTCTGATGGGCATCATGTTGAGGATGTGTTTCAGAAGTCGAGCCAATGACGGCATCGTCTCGCCTACGATATTCAGCATTTGAAAGTTTTCGATCATGATTTCTATATAT